TTTTACATTCTGAATTCCAAGCGAACTGCATTCACTCACTTTTGCAGTGCAGGAGACTGAACTCTGGGCGAGGCAACATCACGGTTGAGCTCCACCCCCAGTTCTGTAGACTTTTTTACTTTGAGACAGTCTCTTTATAGCCCGGGCTGGTCTTGAACTTTTAATCCCGCTGCCTCAGTCTTTCCCCTGCAGTCAGGCCCGGTTTCCAGTGTAATGTAAACCTCCAAGTTCCTTGGCAGTGAACTTAGGAAGCTCAAGTTCAGTCCCTCAGCAGCCTGAGCCCCAGGATAGACGTCCACGCCAGTCTTGGGAGGGATTCAGTGTGGTGGGGGTGGAGGGGTCAGATGTCCACCCCGGCTATGTGTGTCTGTTTCCTGACACCTTTTCTTGTGGTGGATAGCTGGAGAGTCTTCTAGGGGCTCATCCCTGCTGGGGACCCTGACAGGTTAGGGCAGACATCACCAAGTCTCCAGGTTCCTTCTGCTCCAGGGGTGTAGCTCACGTTTTTGTTTACATTTCTGTCACTGTGATAAGCACCACGACCAAAAACAGCTCAGTGGGGGAGAGGGTTTGTTTGATCTCACAGGTTACAGTCCATCAAGGGTTGCCAAGGCAGGATCCTGATGCAGGAACCATTCTTACTGGCTTACTCTACTACAGCCAAGCTCACCTTCCTAGGCACAGTGCTGACACAATCTGGAGGCTTCTTCCCAGGACACCCAAGTAGTGCTCTGGTGGCTGAAGCCAGCCAGTGCTGCGGCTGCTGCTGTTGGCTGTGTGGAGAGCGTCTGGCAGCAATGGGGAGCAGCCTTCTGCAGGGGGAGGCACATCTGGCTGAGACACGGGGCAGCGTGGCTGTTGTTAGATGAATGTCTTGGAGGGGCTGAAGCCGTGTGTCTGTCTGCACCCTTCTGCACCCCCAGAAGTGGCAGCGTTGAATCTGAAGTTTTGCTATTCTGCATTGGCAAGTTAACAGACAGAACTGGAGCAGGGCCCAGACCAGGCTGACACTACACATCGCCACTGTTCGAGGTGGCTTTGGTGGAAGACATCATTTCTACTTCGTCCCTCTGTGGCTTACATTTCCAGCTCCATCTTTCTGGCCTCGAGGCCAGAAGAGCGGCAGTCACCCCGTCTGCCCCACAGGAGCCTAACACCACACAATGAGCGCACCATATATTGCTCCAGTCATGAAGCGGCAGGTCTCCGTGCTCAAACTTGGCGACTCCTTCCTCACGGTGTCTCCGTAGACCTCACACTGACACCGTCCCCTCCAGTCCTCAGTTTCCCCTTCTGCGCCAGGGCAGCTTTGCTTCGGGAGGGAGATGCAGCCCAGCAGATCTGAGATTTCAGCCCTTTTAGCCTGGGAACCTGTTCCACAGACCGCCAAAGTCGGGGGCGGGGCCACGCCTTCAGTCTCCCTACGATTGGGGAATCTCGCAGAAGCCCCGCCCCAGGGCCCGCCCCTTGCCGTCTCGGGCATTATGCAAAGCAGCCGCGCCCCGCCTCGCGCGCGGATTGGAGGCCTTTGTCTGCCGCTCAACTCCGGGAAACCAGGGCGCGCGGGCGCCGCTGCAGGTGAGACCCAGAGGGGAGAGCGGGTGGACCAGGCGCTAGGCCTTAGGGGACTCAGTTTCCCCTTCGGGAAGATGGGGACGGGAGCAGACATCGCTGCCGGGCTGGGTCCCACGGGCCCCGCGCAGCTTCGGATCTCCACGTGGGAGCCCCACGCGCTCGCGAGGGCACGGATCGTGGCTCCGGGAGTCCTGGGCGTGAGATCGCGCGGACCCAGCCGCACCCCGGGGACGTCCGGACAGCGGGATGCCCTGCTCCGGCCCCCTCGGCCTCAGTCTCCACCTCCGCATAGTGGGGGCGTGGGCTTCGGTCCCCCAGCCCAGGCACCTCGCCCACCGGGCGGGCGGGGGTCTCGGGGACCGGGAGTGGTCCGTGGCGGGGCTGCAGGCGATGTTTGGGCAGGAGGCGTAGCCCTGTTGCGTGGTGACCAGGGAGGTGGGGCGCTGCTGTGCTGAGATTTGTGTGAGACTGGGTCGCCAGGCAACAACTCCGCCGGCCAGGCAGCCTTGGAGCCTCGCTCTTTCCCTGGATGCCTAACGCAAGTTGTTTTTTCCCTCTTTGTTTTGTTGGGCAGGGATGAGGGGCAGAGTGGGGTGGGCTGTCTCCACAGTGGGAGGAACCGGGAGGAGCTGTCAGAATGGGGTCAGGAGGCGACTGTGGCACAGAGAGGTGGCGCGGCTTACCCAAGGGCGCACAGCAGGGAGGCGCGAAGCGGGCCTCTGCCCTGTGGTGGGAGGCAGAGCCAGAGCCTACTTGCAGTGAAATCTTGGACGAGATCTCTGACGCCCCTTTCCTGGGCTTTAGTTGAAAGGAAGGACAGGACGAAGAGAATCAAAAGCCCTTCCGCGTTTGGGAAAGTTGGAAAGGAAAGTTGCTGAAAACAAATGCGAGCTATTTTAGAGCCCAGAAGAGAAGCCGAGCCGGCTGCAGTGAAAAGAGGCATTGTTTGTGCCCTCTAAAACAGAAGAAACAGGCTGATTTGAAGGTTAAGGCTAGACACACAGAGACTTCCCGAAGAATTTCCCAGGTTCCTCTTTGGGGGTTGCTGGTGGGGCCGTTTTGTTGAGGTAATAGAATAGTTGCGCTGGGTTAAATGACCTGCTGATGTGAGAAGCAATCTGTGGATGTCTCAGGCAGTATGGGTTTGTCCCTTGGCTGTTCCCCTGTTCCACAGGAGGAACAAGTGCCCACTCGGGTATTCCCTCCCAGAGGCCAGCTGGTTTGCATTGGAACCTCGTGATCCTGGCTCTCTTGAGAGGGGATTTCATCAGCTCCCAGGGCAGGGCTTTCCAGAGGGCCTGGGACTCTACAGAAACGTTTGGCTGCATTGGGAGGGCACTTGGAAACTACACTGCATTGTGCCAGTCAGTGGACAGCATTTCAGAGAATCCACAGATCTTGGTACACCAGAGCCTCAGGTGGCCTCCTCCCTGGGCAGATCTGGAGACACAGCAGGAGGTCACTTTCAGGCTTTACTTCCAAGCACTGCAGTTTACCCCTCTAGAAAATGGGCAGGATGGTATTCCCTTCAGTGCATTTTCAAGCCCTGGTGGATGGCATCCTAGAAAGCTTTTGTTCAGCATCCCCATCTAAGCTTAGAGATAAAGAAATTGATGTCAGAGAAAGAACAGAATAACGGCAGTAACGCTATGTTGGTGACATTAGCTAGTGCATTGGCACTGCTCCAGGCCACTGTACCAGGATTCTCAATGTGGGGAGGGAGGTGGGCGTGGGGGAAGCTGTTATCTCCCCGGTACAGAGCCCTGCTCGATTCCGTCATTCCCTCACGTTGCCACTAGGTGGATGCTGCTGTCCCTATTTTCCCGTCGGTTCAGAGAATTTAAACCACTCACCTTGAGTCACACAGCTCTTCTCTGGGTCTGGCAGATTCTCAGTTTGGGATGTGCAGGAGTGTTTGCCGACGGTCTCCAGCAGTACCCAGCACCGAATCCTGTGATAGCATGTTGGAGCTCACATCGTGGGAACCAGTAAGTGCTGTGTATCAGCCCTTTTTGGGGAGCCGCGTGCCAGCTGAGAGTGTAGCTCAGTGGAGAGCAGCCAGTGCTGGGCTAGGGTGTTGTGAGCCCGAGTTCCAAAAGATCAGCCGTGTCCAAGCATCCTCCCACAGCTGTCTCTGTGCCTGAGCCCTTGGAGTCACCTGGAGGCCTGTCCAGGGCTTGGGCACTGGAGGGTGCGTGGGCTCTGAGGGAGGAACAGTGTCCTGGGAAACCTGGAGAGAACGTGGTTAGTATCCCAGAACACCTTCTGGGATAGCACTTTTCGGTCTACCCAGGGTTTTGGCTGAGGGGGTGGTATCAGAGAGGTTCCAGAACAAAACAGTCAAGGTCTGACTGTTGATAGTCCTGCCCCATAGCCTCCTGTTTTAGCCTCTTGTCTCTCCTCCATCCCGCCTATAGCCCCATCCTGGCTCTGTTCCCCACCGCCAAGTATCAGCCAAACCAGCTGGACTGCTAAGCCAGACCCTCCCCCACCCATCTCTAGATCCTTGCCAGCACCCATCACCCCATAGCCTATTCCGGAGAGGAGCTGGGATCAAAGCCAGATAGCATGCCCAGATGTCAGTCTCCTTGGGGTCCTGGGACTACAGCCAAGGACCAAGAACTTGGGGGAAGGAGATGCAAGATCTAGGAGCCCCCCAAGTAGGAGATTAATCTGTGGGGGGAGCACTATATTTATGATGCCCCTAATATGCTGTGTGACCTTGGGCAAACTGTGTAACTTCTCTGAGTCTTCCTTGTTTTTTAGATGCCTATTTGCTTATGAGGAGCCAATCAGATAATAAGTCCTGTGCTCAGAATGCTAAGAGTCCCCAAGGCTTGGAGCGGGGAGCCTCCGCTTCTTTGTGTACAGTGGCTGGGGAAGAAGACAGCCCAAGGCTTCAGATAAAAAATAAAAGCAGGGGGCTGCTGGGCATCCCAGAGGTCAGAGCTGCAAAGAGGCTCGGTGCCCAGCGGCTCTGTGGACTCTGAAAAGGGACTGAATCAGGGTGTGCCCCAGTGACGCTATGCAGACGTGAGGCAGGGTGGAAGTCCGTGTGTGTGTGTGCATGCGTGCGTGCGAGCGTCCATCCGTCCATCCGTCCATCCGTCTGTCTGTCCGTCTGTCTGTCGGGGTGGACCGTGGAGCCTTTGCCCACTGCACTGAGATACACCCTCAGTCTCCATATTACAGTTATGAGCACCATTCCATATTCTTCTGAGAATAGCTAAAAACTGGTCCTTTGAGAACGAATGCAGTTTTGTTTTGTTTTTTGTTTGTGAGACAGGGTTTCTCTGTTGTAGCCCTAACTGTCCTAGAACTTTCTCTGTAGACCAGGCTGGCCTCGAGCTCACAGAGATCCACCTGCCTCTGCCTCCCAAGTGCTAGGATTAAAGACATGCACCACCACCTCCAACTGGGAACAAACATAATTTATTTTTGCACCCTCTATTGTTGGACACTGAAGTTGTTTCCAATCTCTTTACTGTTTCAGTGACAAAATAATTAAGCTTGGATATCATGGTTCAAGCCCCTCTTCCAGGAGGAGGAATTCATGTCTCCTTGGATGGGTATGGAGGGGTTGGGGGATGAGAACTAAATCCTAGAAGGGTTTTTTACAAGGTATTTGACACAAAGTAAGTGCTGGATAAAACCTCACTGTTAGCAATACATTCTTGGTACCATGAACTTTCAGATTTTTACTTTGAAGAATCTCGAGAGACTAGTATCTATATGGTTGCAAAAACCTCTTAATAACCCCTGTCTTTATTAGCTAAGAATGGTCTGTTTCCTCCCCTCCTAAATGGCTAAGGATAAACACACATTTCCTAGCCAGGTCATTGGCCCCAGAACTGTTTGGGGAGCCACATGGTAATAGTACCCCTCACACTTGGGAGAACTGGCTCCCCTTTGTGTGGGGCTCTGAACCCGGAGCTTTGGCTGATGTTGGGGGAAGTCCTGTGAGGCGCATGCCCTGTGGCCACATCACTGAGGTCCAGGCCATTGCTCCCAGGCAGGTACGCTGTGCCAGCTAAGGCACTGTGCCAACACCCGAGGGTGCACACCACATCATCCCGTGAGTCATCCTGTGCCCTGTCTTACAGATGAGTAACCTGGGACTGGACTCGAAAGTCTTTATCAGCAAGGGTCTTGCCAAGGTCACTCAGCCTCCAAGAGACCTGGAAGTCCTAGCTTGTTCCATGACACATCAGCACAGTGGGGCTTCCTGGTTGGGCAAATGGAATGGAGTCCAGGAGACTCAGTGGAACTCTTATCACCTCAGATTCTCTCTCTCTGTCTCTCTGTCTCTCTCTCTTTCTCTCTCTCTCTCTCTACTCCCCTCCCTCCCTCCAGCCTCATTTATTTTTATGTGTGTGATCGTGAGTGTTTTCTCTGCATGTGTGTATGTGTTCCATGTGCGTGCCTGGTGCTCACGTAGGCTGGAAGATGACACTGGATCTCATGGAACAGGTGGCTGTGAGCCATCACGTAAATTCTGGGAACTGAACCCTAGTTCTCTGCAAGAGCAACAAGTGTCCAGCCTCTTGGTGACCATCTCTTGAAGCCCCAGATCCAAAGCTCAGAGAAAGGACACCCGTGCCCCAGGTGACCTGGGAGTCAGAGGTCCCTTGCAGGGTTCCATTGCTCTCTTTGATCCTTTGAGCTGGAAGGTCAGCCTCCTGGCAGGAGGAGAGAGTGGCCTTCCAGGGAAAGAGAGCCAGGACACAGGAGGGTCTGGGATGGAGTGACAGCCCCACTCCTGTGATGTCTGGCTGATGTATCAAGACGCCGGGGCTTCTTGTGGCTCTGCTGCAGCTCTGGGGCTCCAGAAGGATCGAAGGATGGCTGAGCAGTGGCAAAGAGAGGGCAAAGGTCCAACAAGCGTCTGGACTCAAGGCCAGAGCAGGCAGCAGAAGGCTTCTTGTGCTGATGGCCAGGGTGCAGGGTTTTCCCTTTGGTTTCTTGGCTGGGTGGCTGAGAACTAATGTCTTCCTTCTGGGTCTCTGTTTCCTCCCCTGAGCAAGGGAAGAAGAGTCTACAGCCAGTTCTAACTGCATCTGATGAGAAGGCTAAGGAAGCTAAGGGAGGCATAGGGTGCCCTTGAGGGAGAGCAGAGCCTCCCTTTGAGAAGGCTAAGGAAGCTAAGGGAGGCATAGGGTGCCCTTGAGGGAGAGCAGAGCCTCCCTTTGCAGAGGAGTTGTAGCCTAAGCCTTGGGCTCCACCCTGGGCTCCCCCCTGGACTCTCCTGTGTGTAGGCCTTGGGATCTCCACAGGCTGGGTGGGGTGAGCACCAGGCTTGGTCGGGTCGAGCCAGGTCCTCATGTATCTGAGTCTCTACCATGCTTACCAGTTCCGTGGCCTTGGGCAAGCTGTGTGGGCTCTAGGGACCTTATGTACTCAGCTGTCATGGGCACCTCACGCCTGTCTAGATGACTGTTAGGGACCTACAGACATCTACCTGGGCCACTGGCGAGGTACAATGAATGGTCCAGAAAGTGTCTGTGTTTCTGTCCTGTGTCAACCCATGCTGGGTACCAGAGACTTAGTAGTGAGTGTGCTTCAGGAGGTCCTGAAGTCATTACCTGGTGAGCGCCAGGACAGATGGTGAGCCCCAAGGAGGCTGTACAGGAGCTAGGGCTGCAAAGAGCTCAGAATCAGCAGGGAGCAGAGGTGAATATTGGCGAGGAGCACCAGTATTGTTGGGGAGCACCTCCTGGGGAGCACCAAGGGTGTGGGAACTGCAGCAGGCAAGCATGGAGGGAGACAGAGGCTGACGCAGGCCTGGACTGCAGCTCCTGTCTGTTCTAGTGCTGTGGACAAGTGTCCCGAATGAAAAAAATGTATAAGGCTGTCTTTGGGAGCTTGGGTTTGAGACGATCCCATGAGGCTGTTGGGGATCCGGGTACAGGGCTGGCCAGGTGAGGACGATTCTGGAAGATATGAGGGGGCAGGCAGAGCCAGAGTCTGGTGGAGTTTGGGAAATTTAGAAAATGGAGGGGAGCGGCCAGGTGGACCACTCAGTCGGGCCTGAGAATCTGAATGAAGGATGGGCCCGTCTGTGGACAGGAGAATGCTACTGTGTCCGAGCTCAGTTTGGCCGCGTTTGGTTGAGTAAATCAGGGATGGTGCATGCCATGTGGGCAAGGGCAGGGAGTGACAGGAAAAGGCCCAGTGGTGGGATGAAGGACAGTATTTACTGTCAGCTGACAGGCCCAGCGTGTCCCAGCCGTGGCAGCAGCCACCTGGTGCCAATGATGAGTTAATGAGAGGATGGTGAGTGAATGAGTGACGGGGTGTCAGGGGAGCCCGCCTCTCACATAATGGGCCACTTAGTCCCCAGAGCAGCAGGAAAGGACTTGGCAAGATTCGGCTCTGTTCCATAGGCCCTGGGGGCCGCAGGGAGATCCCCGCCACCCACATGTGGATATGAGGCAGGGGCAGGGATGAAGGAGTTGGGGGTTCTTGGTTGAGGGCGCTTGGTGCTGTCTTAGCCAGATACCGGCAGCTGGCCCTTAGAGACTTCCTTCATTCCTCAGTCGCAAGCCCTTGAGGAGGCCAGGGACTCCCACCTGAGGAGACCGAGGGGTAGAGACTGTGGTGATGAACTAGCTCCTAAGTCCCCTCCCTACTGCACATCGGGCGTGCCGCTGTCATCGGATCGGCAGCAGCCCGGCTTCACAGAGAGGAAGAGCATGGCCCTAGGTGGAGCCGTCCAGGTCACAGAGCCACAGGAGGCGAGGCTGGCATCGACTCCCCTGCCTGTGGGTTCTGAGATCCCTTCTCTCCACCATACTTGCGTGGCCACTAGCCTGGCTACTCCTTGAAACCCTCTGGGGCTTTCTGGGTGTGGGAGGGCTGTCTCCTGTCTTTTCTGTTTCCTGACTTGATGCTCTGGGTCAGCAGGGGCAGAGTGGGGAGCCAAGAGCAAGGCTCTGGGTAATCCTGCGACGACTTCCCTTGTGCGCGGCTCTTGCCTCCTCCTGGCTGCTCTGGTCCAGCCCGGATCCTGAAGGGACAGTCCCTGTACCTTCTTCCCTGGCACCGAGGCCTCTCACACAACACCCTGTTTTTGTCCAGGCCCCCAGCAGCTCTCACGTCTTTGCAGCTGCCTTTCTAGAATGTTCCGCCTCAGCCCTGCTTGTGGCTTGCTCCTACCTCTCTGTCCTTCCGGCCCCTTTTGTGGCTGTGGACTGCCCACCCAGACCTCCCTGGTGACCCTGCCTCACCTCCCCAGCTTGTCACTCTCAGGCCCTGTGCCTCCTGCCAGGACCTGCTGGTGCTCCTCAGGCTCTGAAACACCGGAAGCAGCCAGGGTGTGGGTGTCTCTCACGCTGTACCTCAGGCACACCTGAAGTCTTGCACACTCCTCTGTAGAGTGAGGAACTAGATGTGGTGCGTTTGTACCCTGCCATGCTTCTGTTACACACCTTTCACAGAAGCGAAGGAGCCCGGGGAGCCACAGGTTGGCCTTCAAGATAACCCTGTGCTTTATCTCTGAGGTCTCTGAGGGGGAACCTGCCCGAGGGTACATTCATCTGATCCTCCATTTCTCCCACGTTACCTAGGAAATTCCACTACAGGTGGACGTGTGTCTCCAGGCATGTACAGTACGTGGACAGACAGAAATCCCAGACTGCTCCCTGAGATGACGGGACTTGGGTTAGTAGGCAGGACAGAGTTAAAGCTGGAAGGCCACGAAGGAACTCTGAGTCCAAGTCCCCCTTGTTAAGATGGGCGGAGAGACTCTGATACGTCATTGGTGGCTGAAGAGGACTCGTGGGGGGCTGCAGGCTCCCCTTCCCAGGCCCAGCATGTAAGGTGACCTTAGCCGAGTGCCTGGCCTTCTCTGGACTTCAGCATATGCAGGGTTGCAGATGAGATGGCCCCAACCCAAGGCCTCAAAAGTTTCTGTGAGCTTTTCCAGCCAGTGCAGCCCCACACTTGCCCAGCAAGGGGTTAAGCAATTGGCGGCAGCTCTGCACAGCAAACCCCCTCCTTTTCACAAACACTTGTAGGAAATCAGGCTGGGCACTTCCTGCGAGGAGGTGGAGGAGGAGGCAAGGCCAGGCCTCAGCTGCAGGGGCGGGGAGAAGTGAGGAGCGATGCTTGCCTGTGAGCAGAGGCGGTTCTGGCTGGCAGAGCGGTCTGGAGGCGGTCCAGGGTGCTGTGGAGGTAGGGGGCTCCCCAGGTTTGAAACAAAGACCTCGTGGGCAGCTCCCTTGAGCCCAGGCCGGCCGGATGGTGGTGTAGTCCAAGTGAGGTAAGGAACTGAGCCAGGAGGAGGGCCAGTAGGAAGGCCGCCTTCCCTCTGGAAGGGCCAGTCACAGACTCTCTGGACAACCCTGGCAGTCAGCCCAGCCCAGCCAGGAAGTCACAGCTATGCAGCTGCTGCCACTCCTGTCCAGCTCTGGGAGCCCGGCCCCTAGGTCAGAGTGGGCTCCGGGATGCTAGTGCCCAGTCCCAGCTCTGATTTGGTTCCCTTGGTGAACTTAGACAGTGCTGGTCCCTCTCTGTGCCCAGGGTGGGTTCATCTCACGGCCAGTTAGTGCTTGGATTGCTGAGGGTCCCTGGAGATGTGCAGGAGGGAGAAGCAGGCCAGGAAATGACACATAAGGTCAGAGATGGAGTCTGGATGTTCTGGGGGCCAGGAGTCCAGTTTGGACCTAAAATAGGGCAAGATGAGAGTCAGTAATAGCCTGACCCCTTTTCTCTTATTCCTGGCTGTTTGAGTGAGTCGGGGACAGGCTCGGGACATCCATAGTTGGTATCTCTGCTTCCTGCAGCCCGGAGGCCACTCCTTGTGAAAAATTAGTCTATTCTCTGCCACTGACCTGAGCTTACTTTGCAATCCCACTCCTAACCCTTGAGAAGGAGTTCTCCCTGCCATCCTGCTTCCTACGAGTCTGATCCCTTACTTTGCAATCCCACTCCTAGCCCTTGAGAAGGAGGTCTCCCTGCCATCCTGCTTCCTACGAGTCTGATCCCTTACTTTGCAATCCCACTCCTAGCCCTTGAGAAGGAGGTCTCCCTGCCATCCTGCTTCCTACGAGTCTGATCCCTTTGGTTTAATAGCTACAGTATTCCTCTCCAATCCAAATTTCCTGGTTGTGAGGCCTCCTTAGGAGTCTGCTTCAGTTCGCTCTTTGGAATGAGGTTAAGATAGGGATGCCCTGACTGTCCTTGGCTGGATGGTATGGGGTTTCTGAGGATCAAGACTGCTCAAGGCTGTGTAGCCACTCAAGGGGGGGTCTGCAGGCTTTGTAATGGCAGGAACAACCCCATCCCATCCCATCTCTCTCTCTCTCTCTCTCTCTCTCTCTCACACACACACACACACACACACACACACACACACACACACACACACACCCTGCTTGTGTGGAGCAGTAGGGGAAATGTCTACCCAGGAACTAAACCGAGTCCCTGGAGTGTGTTAGAACATGGAGAACAGGGCTGCACGGGAGTCAAACTGGAGGAAGTAAGAGCACAGAAAAAGCAGTTTCTCTGGGGCATGTGGAGACACTTAGCCCAATGGCCCAGCCCTTAGCAGGTCTTAGTTATAGAGAGGTTGGCCCTCCTGGGTCAGGACACAGTTCATAAGGCTAGGGCTTTCACCAGCTTTCATGGCTGTCCTGTGGTGGCTGTCAGGGCCTCGCTGAGTGTGTGGCCCTCAGGGACTAGGCCCTCAGCTCTCCTTGAAGTTCAGCCTGATTTTCTGACCTCCATGCCTTTGTCTACGCTGCTTTCTGTCCTGAAAGCCCTTCCTCATTCTCCTCTAGATGTGCTTGGTCTGTGAAAACTGTCCCCAAACTTCCTTCTTCAGTGGCTTTTCTGGACTGCATCCTCTGCGGAGGGTGGGGTCTTGGCAAGCTTACTCTTTTCCGTATCCTAGGATACAAGAACTTCCAAGTTCGTTTGGTGCATCTCGGGCCAGTGTGCTCCCCAGAGCAGGGTGACCACCTCTCTGTCCCCTTTACAGAGAGGAGTCAGCCAGTCACATGCCTCAAGTGGCAGTCACACCAGGGCTGGGTTCTGCGTGCCTGATGCTCAGCCTACTTCTCTGTTGCGGCCTCTCTCTGCCTGAGGTTGGCACGTGTTTGGCATTGATGTATGTTTGTTGGTGGACTGTCTGACTGGCCGGCCCCAGGCTCCATGGCACTGAGATCTGTGGCTTGCACAGAAGACAAGTTCTTTTTTCAGGGAAAGCTCATGTGTCTGTGTCAAGGCATCTGAGGGATGGGTGCAGAACTGTAGCCACTGACCGCTGCTGCCTGTGACATGCAGACTCCGCTGAGCACAGTGAGATTTCTGCCACTGAGTCATTGCAGAAAATAGGCTGTTCCTCTTTTTGCATGCAGAGGTCTCTGTGATTGGGCAGGCTGCTCTGCGGTGGATCAGGGGGGAGAAAATAACCTTTCAAAAGTCAGAAACCCACATGCCACAACCCTTCCTCAGCAGAGACACGGGATGAGGCAAAATGTGGTTGCCCTGCCCCCCCCCCCCCCCGTCTTACCACACCTCCACACTGGGAGCCAGAAAATGGGGGAGGCCCTGTTACAGTCCTGGTTTAAAGATTCTGAGGCCCTGTCCCAGGGTCGCCGAGCCAGGGTCCTGCAGACAGAGACTGAGTGCTTGCAGAATTCTCATGCACACTCAAGGTCAAGAACCTCCCCTCACCATGGATTTGAGCAGGGGTGCAGGCTCTGTAGGGAATGGATCAGAGTGTGTGGCAGAGGTCAGAGGGCAACCTAGAGTATCGAGTCTCGATTTCTGGCTTGTTTGGGATGGTCTCTTTCACTACTGCACATGCCAGGTCCTGCCAGCTCCCGACACTCTCCTGTCTCTGCCTCGAGTCTCCAGGGAGGGCTATGCGCCTCCAGGGAGAGCGATGCCAGAGTTACAGGTGCCTGCACTACCGCATCCAGCTTTTATGTAGGTTCTGGAGATTCAAACTCAGCTCATTAGGGTTGTGCAGCCAGCATTTGACCTCCCGAACCGTCTCCTGTCTCCCCTATTCGTCCTTCTAAAAAGTACACTGTGTGTGTGTGTGTGTGTCTGTGTGTGTGCATGTGTGTGTCTGTGTGTGCATGTGTGTGTGTGTGCTGTGTGTCTGTGTGTGCTGTGTGTGCGTGTGTGTGTCTGTGTGTGAGTGTGTGTCTGTGTGCGTGTGTGTCTGTGCGTGCTGTGTGTGTCTGTGTGTGCGTGTGTATGTGCATCTGTGTGTGCGTGTGTGTCTGTGTGTGCTGTGTGTATCTGTGTGTGTGCGCACGTGTGTTGCCGTAGCACATATGCAGCGGTCACAGCAGTTTTGAGAGTCAGTTCTCTTCTACCTCGTGGGTCCCAGGGATCAAACTCGGGCCCCCAGACTTGGCAGCAAGCGCCTTTAGCTGCTGAGCCATCTCGCCAGCTCTCTACTGCTTCATCTTAAAACAGTCTTTCCAACACATGTAGTGTATTTATTATTCAGATATACAGATTAAAGTATACCTAGGGGTATACATGTGCAGATTTTTACTGATGCGGATCTGTGGTTCCAAAACCAACTGAGAGAGCCCTGGGCCAGGACTGACCTCTTGTTATCCTACTTACTGACCAGGTGATCCTGGCTGAGTCACTGTTTTCTCTGAGCCGTGGTCTTACCGATGAGACTGGAGGTAGACAGCAGTCGTGCTTCCCGTGAGCCTGGCAGAGTGGGGACAGTGTGGGGGCAGTGTGGGGACAGTGTGGGGACAGAGTGGGGACAGTGTGGGGACAGTGTGGAGATATGCAAGAAATGTGGGTTCCACAGGAACGGGGAAGGACTGGCTGAGGGGCAGGCAGAGAAGCCCTTGAGCCCCCACCCCTACAGAGTCCCAACTAAAGGAGGCTTGGCCCGAGTCACCCCTGGTCGTGAAGCCAGCCTTTCCCACGCAGCCCTAGTCTCTGGGGAACTGAGTTTAGAAATAGTTGCCTGATGACTTTTCCCAGCTACGTATTGAAGGGAGGGTTCTAGGACCACTCTGACTGCCCAGCTCCGGAGGCTGGGAAACTATACCGGCCTGGATGGAAGAGCCTACGCTGGCCTTCACCCCTGCGCTGCTCTGGGCCTCAGTTTCCCTACCTTTATAGAAACTAAGTGTGCACAGCACGGCTCTTTGAGAACTGAGTGGCTGGTCGCTCCTAGGTCCTGTGCCTATGTCCTGAGGCTGGGTTTCCTGGGCTTAGCACAATGATGGACATGGGAAATACCAGCAAAGTGTTAGGAATAGAGTGTGAAGGGAAAAGAAAAAATGAGGAGGAGAAGAGGAACACCCTCCCTGCCACCAGGGCCCTTCCCAAGGTCCCCAGGCTGTGCCCCTGGTTTGCTATCCCACAACAGCACACAGGGCCCTCTCCACTGCCCCTTGGCTGGGCCATCTGCCTGAGAGTTCCATGCAGCTGCTGAGGATGTCATGAGAGCTTCTGTGGCCTTGGCCTCCCTACCTTCCCACACTCCCTCCTGTCAGTCACCCAGTCTCTGCACTCACAGGACCCCTGGCTTACAGTGCTCTAGTTTCTCTTTTTGAGGCAAAATCCATATAACACGAAACTAACCACTCAGCAACACCTAGCATAGCCACACGGTTGTATTGGGTTTCTTCTGCTTTCAGAACATTTCCTCAGCCTTCAAGCAAACCGTCTGCCCATTGAGCAGTGAGGGTCCCTTTCCCCCTCCCAAGCATCACTTGACCCCCTTCCTCTCTGGACTCACCTGGTCTGTGCACTGCAACCCGTGGACTCAGACACAGGGTTCTCATGTCTGGTCTTTCACAGCACAGCACTTCAGTGGTTTATTGACATTGTCACACGTGTTGGGACTCCATTCCTTTTTTCTGCTGTAATCCCATGCCTTTCTGCAGCTGAATAATACCCTGCTGTGTGTAGAGACCGCAAATTGTTTCTCCATGCAGATGGATGGATGCCTGGGTGTTGGGAGTGGGGCTGCCGGGACATGTGTGGAGGCGTGTTTGCGTGCACGCCTGCTTCAATTAGCTTGGGCATTGGAATCAGGTCCCTGCTTTCAACCTGAGTTCAAGGGAATCCCGTGGTGCCTTCCCTGGCCTTGGGGTGATGCGACCAGGCATCTATCAGCCCGCACCTGAGCAGTGGTGGCTTGATAATCTGCGCATGTCCTCCCTTGGGCAGTCGCTGCTGTGGGAAGGGCCTCTGCATAGTGCCTGCAGGCAGAGCTAGGTGTGCAGTGGCAGTAGCTGGCACTTAGGGGACATGGTCACAGTGTGCTGGCTGCTAACACGTTACCCTGTGTCCTAGAGGAAGGGGAATCCTCACCTTATTGATGACAAACAAGGACAGTGAGTCACCCACGGTCACACGGGAGAGGGCTGCCTGCCTCTGGGGATCCTGGATGGATGATGGAAGGCCCCGAGGATTGATATTATCTAGTGGTTGTACCCCAACAGGCCACAGGCAGAATGGCTGGTGCTGAGAGGAGCCGCCTGTGACTTGGATCCCCAGCTGCAGTCCAGTCTCTTGAAGATGAAGTGGCCCAGGTGAAGCCAGGCCCGGCCCCATGGCCAGCTCAGGGACAGAGGCACACTGGGCTGGGCCAGGCCTGGGGCAAGGGCCCCGGAGGCGACGCTGGGCTTGGGCTGAAGAGCAGGATGCAGATGGAAGCAGTGACCAGGGCTGGGGAAACCAGCAGTCTCTTCCTAAAGCCACCAGCCCTGAGCTCCTGGAGGACTTCCGCCGGGCACAGGAGTGCCCGCTGCCCCTGGAGTGGGACCCAGGCATGCAGGAGTCGGAAGAGTCTTCTGGAGAAGGTGAGGTGAACTCCGTGAGCCTGCTGTGGTGACCTGTTCCCCAAAGAGCCTACCTTCTAGCAGAGGCAAGGAAACAGGGGTATCTTTACAACCCTTAATTAAATTATATTTTTTAACATTTAAATTGCACAATAATACTGTGCATTTTGGAAAATGTAAGCAAATAAGAGATAAATTTTAAAACAGCTTGTTCTACCCCTCCAGAGGTGAGACTGCTTTCCAATATGCAAATGTTTATGTGAATATGCAAATATATGCTGGAACACTCCCTTGTCACTTGCTTTGTTGTTATCTTAATAGCTAGGAATTTTTCCCCATTCTCCCAACATTTTTCCATAAGTCTCTCCTAGGACCTGCATGGCCGGGGCACTCCCATAATCCTTTGGTCCAGTTTCTCCTGCCCTGCAGGACACAGTTTCTGGTTTGCGCCGTGGTGAATGCCACAGAGGAGAATGCCATCCAGCTGTCTTTGCATGCCTGCCACCATCCTGTGCTTGGTAACTTGAATTGCTGGCTCAGGACTTAGGCTTGTTCAAAGGATTCTTCTAGACCCTAGTCAGCAGGGAATGTTGACATGCTTCATCTGTCCCAATGGCTGTTCTCACATTGCCAGGAGGCCAGCTTGGAGGGACTTCTCAGCTTCTCCTATGCTAGTCTGCTCTCCACCCTAGCCTTGGTTTCCCTACCAATGAAATGGGCATAACGACACCATTGGGAACAGGGAAGCTTGATGTGCTGTGGTTACTAGATTATGAAAAGGATGTGCCCACATTAGAGCCCCTTAAATCAGCACCACCCTCGTTCTACAGAAAAACCCACTTGGGCCATTACCCCAAGTGTTTCATGCCTACTACAATTACCATTGTCACTTGGGAGCTGTTTTCTTGCTTTTATCTTCTTAGTGTGTGTGTGTGTGTGTGTGTGTGTGTGTGTGTGTGTGCTAACTAGAAATTGAACCTCGAGCCTTCTATAAGCAAATGCTCTAATACTGAACTATATTCTCAGCTTCTAAAAAAAGTATATTTTGAGATGAAATCGTATCTGAGGGAATTGAGATGGGGATGTTTAAGACAATAGGCACCTCTTCCTAAGAGATACTTGGTATGACACAACAGCTTCCCTCCTTCCACTCCAACTCTCTGCAGGCAAGAGTTTAAGTTAGACTGCCAGGCGTCAGTTTGTGGTTCCCAGGCAGGGATCAGAAGAGCATAGAGTGAGTACAGGTCCAGGACTGCGCTGAAACACAGCGTGGGAGAATCCAGTTTAAAGCAGCCAGGAGACATGAATTATCAAGAGTTAGGGGGAAGAGGTCTGTGGAACAGCATGTCATACAGGGCTTGTGAAAAAGGCACCTCCAGTCAGAGCGGAGTCTGTGCAGTGTTACCTGGTGTGTCTCGTGAAGAGCTGGATCAGGCAAAGTAGGTACTCAGTAAATATGGCTGCCTGTAGTGTGGATGCATGGATGGATGGATGGATGGATGGATGGATGGATGGATGGATGGATGGATGGATGGATGGACACGTCCTTTAAAGGATAGGTGGATGCTTGCAAGGATGGCTGGCTGGCTGGATTATGTATGCAGGGATGGGTGATGGCTGGGTTGCAAATGGATGGATGGTTAGGTGAATGTTGTATCTACTACATGATAACTACAACAGCTACCTATGTCTTGGAAGCTGTGCACACTTTATCTTTTCCCTTTCTTTCTACTCTGTCAAGAAACAGTATTGAGCACCCGCTGTTCAAATGAAATAGAGCAGCCAATGCTCTTGCCCTCAGGAAGCTTGCAGTGTTCTGGAGACCTATGTTAACAAAATAATCCCAAGACTGAACAAACAGCTGTCACTGCACTAGGTGTTACGATGCAGAGGGCTCTCCCATGAGAGCCTGCAGAGGGGGCATTTGACCTTATCCGGGAGCTTCAGAACTTCCCTGGTAAAGTCAAGATTGAGATGCAGCCTGAAGGACCAATAGCTCCCGAGATAAAGCAAGGAGACAGGGCCCTGCTGGACACAAGCACAGTACTTCTCAGGGTCAGTGGGGTTGTGGGTGTTGGGACAGCAGGGACCCCAGGACCACAGGAAAGGCTCTGCTTTGTGCTGGGAACAACAGGGAGACATGATGAGACTCCAGGTGGTGGGATGGAGCTGAGGAGGAGGTGGTTAAGTGGTTATTGCATTCGTCCAAGCATAAGGAGACATTGGTTTAAGTACAGTTGTGGGGGCCAGAGTCTGCAGAGAGCTCTGTAGGAGGTAAATGGAACAGGACAGGGCAGTCTGGATCAGGGGCTAAGGAGAGAGACACGACCACGATGCCTCCAGCCTCTTCCTTGTGTAACTCTATGGGACGGTGTTGCCATTTGTGGACATGGGAAACACTTGGTGTGTCTAGGTTCTTGCCATCCACACATCATGAGGTCATGTAGTAACTCAGTTGGCATTACAGACCCAAGACATGCTCAGCAATGAGTGACCTGTCTTTCCAGAGACAGAAGCTGATGATGGGAGCAGCCCAGAGGGTTCCCCCTTGCCTCTGCCCTGGCTCTCCAGGCACACTCAACAGCTGGACCTGTCTGAAGAGGAACTGGATGCAGCCCCTGGAAGTCCTGAGGCGGAGTTAGCTGAAGAGAGTTACACAGAGCTGGAGTGTGAAGACCCGGGAAGTTCCAGCCCTGGGGCTCTGGAGCAGGGACCAGCTGGAGACTGGGTGGCCTCTATCAAACAAGGCAGTAAACACAGACCTGAGCACCCCACACGTCAGCCATCTGTTGAACACAGCCCCACAAAGACCTGGAGCAGTGGGACTGTGAGTCTCGGCCAACCTAGTGACAGCCTTGATTCTACCTGGGAAGGAGACGCTGATGTCCCCCAGCCTGCCACGCTGACCGAAGCCCTGCCACACAGTCCACGCCACAGCCTCCCACAGCCAGATGACAGAAACGGAGATGGCGTTGCTCCGGCAACACCCACAGAATTCCGGGACTCCTTAGCAGCACCAGCCCAGAATCCTCAGTGCTCTGCAGGCACATGGGGGCGAGAAACCACCAGCCTGCCCGGTTCTCAACCTGAGAACCGAGCCTGGAGGAGAACTAAGACATCCCCAAAGCCACTGCCCTCCCGGTTCACTGGCTCCATCAGCCCCCCAAGTACTCGGCTTGGGGCCGTAAAGAAAGTTGTGTCACAGCACAATCAGGGAGTCACTCTGGCTGGCCACTCTTCTTCAGATGCCCCCAAGTATGGCCGGGGGCGCCTGAACTACCCACTCCCTGACTTCTCCAAGGTGGGACCCCGGGTAAAGTTTCCCAAAGATGAGAACTACCGACCCCCCAAGTCCAGAGGCCACAACAGGCAACAAGGCCCTGCCAGACCCCTAATCTTCAAGTCGCCAGCTGAGATTGTCCGAGAGGTACTGATGAGCAATGGAGAGAGACCCCTGGTCAGGGACCCTTCCCTTGCCCAGCCCATCACCAGAGTGCCCCAGGAGTTCCAGACACCTGAACAAGCCACTGAGCTGGTTCATCAGCTGCAGGTAAGCAAGACTCTTGTCCCTGTGTGTCACCCAGGCCCCTTGTTGGAGTAGGGAAGCTCTGGCTCTGGGCTGAGTCCCCTGCTGGTGAAAGTGGAGTTGTCCCTGTGCCAAAGATAGACCCCGTCCCTTGTTCAAATAAGAGCCGTAAGGAGACTGGGGTGTGACTCAGTCGGTAGATCGCGTGCTTCACATACCCAAAGCCCTAGGTCCAATCCCCAGCACCTCATAGATGGGTGTGGAGGTGCATGTCTGTAACCATAGCTGTCCAGGGAGTGGAAGCTGAAGGGTCAGATGTTCGAGGCCATCCTTAGCTGCACAGCAACAGTAAGTTCTATGCTAGCTTGAACTAGAGACCACAGATCAGTGAGCGTGTCCATGTGTCATTCAACCACTGCTATGAAAAAGTATCACAATTCTGGAAGGAAAACGGTCTAGTGGGTGCCCTCCTCTCTACCCCGCAGCATCTACACAGGACAGCTCCTGGATCCCTTTCCATTCCCCCACTCCCACAACCCCTACCGAGTTAAGTAAAGCCCAGGTGTCCAGCCGCTTTGTGTTTTATTGTTGTCTTTAACTCTGGGAACTTTGCTCACATGGTCTCACGCAGGGCAGAAACAGGTCCCCTACACACTTAGCAGTGCAAGAGAAGGACACGGCTCCTAGGTGGCACTTGGCCCACGTGTCCTTCAGGTCCCTTGCAAATCTTCTTGTACATCTCCTTTCCGAATCTCTTCTGTCTGTCTTTCCTCCTCAGACCTCCTCCTTGCAGACGTCTACTGTGGAATCAGGCCGTCCCTGTAGTCATCTATTTCTTAGACGCTGCTAGGCACATGCCCTGTCTCAGGGGGCCTTTCATGTCCTCCCTTACGCTAACCATTGATGTGATCGGTGCTGGGCCTGGGGCTGTAGCCTCCTGTGTACCCTCTCCCCACTGGACCATGAGGTGTAAGTCAGAGTACGCCATCAGATCCCACGGAACTGAGACTGTAGATGGCTCTGAACCACCTGTGGGTCCTCTGCCAGAGCCGCAAGTGCCCTGAGCCCTGAACTGGCTCTCCAGCGTCCTCTTTTCCCCTCTCTTCCTCCCACCCCTGTGCACCTTCAGAAGCCACATCTGGGGTCTCCCTGTGTCACTCTCCACCATGCTTTGTTCTGCCAGGATCTGTCACTGAGGATGGAGCTCACAACTCATTTAGGTTGCCAGAACAGCGAGCCCACGGATTCTCCTGTCTCCTCCCCCAGGTCCTGGAGCTACGGCATGCATTCCTGCACTTGGTTTTGCTTTTTTAGACAAGATCTCTTTACATAGTTCTGGCTGTCCTGGAACTCACTCTGTAGACCAGGCTCTCCTGGAATACACAGAGATCCGCCTGCCTCTGCCTCCCAAGTGCTGGGATTAAAGGCGTGCACCACCATGCCCGGCTTCATGTTTGACTTTTTAATACAGGTACTGGAGAGCCAAACTGAGTTCCTCATGCCTGCACAGTAGGCCTTTTGCCCGCTCAGCCATCACCCCAGCCCTGACTCTGACCTTCCATAACAACGACTTACTTTCAGGAGATTTGCTTGCTTCACAGGCAACCAATTGCATCTGCTTTGTTCTCCCCCTGCTTTAATGAAACCAGGGTTTGTGTAAGGCCAGTGACCCTGAGCAGATACGAACTAAGCCTTTTAATTAATTTTCGGTGCCTCGTGTGTGTGCACATGTATATGTGAACACATGTGTGGATGGTTGCACATGGGGGCCAGCACACAGCTTTGAGGGTCTGCCTTGGGTGGTTTTGTTTTTTGTTGTTTTGGAGACAAGGTCTCACTTTTTTCTGGTGCTCATTAATTCAGCCAGGCTACCTGGTCAGAGAGTTCCAAAGATCCTCCTGGCTCCGCCTCCCCAAATCTTATTACCACACCTGGTGTTTTTACTTGGGTTTTGGGGATAAAGTCCTCGTGCATGTGTGTGGCCCGGGGTGACTGTGTCTTTTCTCTACAGGAGGTGTGTGGCCTGGGGTGACTGTGTCTTTTCTCTACAGGAGGACTACCACAAGCTCCTCACCAAGTACGCGGAGGCAGAGAACACTATCGACCAGCTTCGCCTTGGGGCCAAGGTACTGGTTGGAATGGGCTGAGCTTGGTGGGCAGAGCCAAGAGCTGGGGTCCTTAGGGAGATGGCCTACCCTGGAGTCTTAGAGAAAGGCCACTGGCTCTTGCATCCTGAGACTCTGTATCGAAGAATCCTAGTCCTTGAACTACCACTAGGCCTTTAGGTGGCCTTGGCATAACCTAGCCATCCCTGTGCTCTCTTTCTCACTGTTAATGTCTGAGTGATGGAGACTGGGGTACTCAGCAATGTCGCCAGAAGTTGTCTCCTCTGTGACTTTGGGGCATGACTACCTAGGCTGACTTCTATCTAACCCTATTCCTAGCCAGCCGGGTGACTTTCAGGAAGTTGCTGCGCCTCTCTGAGCTCAAGGCTGTACTCCAGACTTTCTGCTCAGTCTTTGGTGCCCTGTTCTCCCTGAATCACACTTTGGCCTTTCTCCCATGTCTCCTCTCCCCCAAAAAACCAACCAAACAACAACAAAAACCCTCCTCCTGTATCTGCCTGGAACTGAGCACCCCGTGTGTGGCAGGTACAATGTCCTGAAGGGATAGCTCATCCACCCTGAGAACTGGGCAGCATGCCTCCCACCCTGACCGTCTCCAGAGGCTGAGAACCCTGAATGGGGCCCTTCCTCTCTCCTGCCGTGAGGAGGAAGTGGGCCACTTGTGGCCCCCTTGGCTTCCTGCTGTCTCCACACCCCTGTTTACTCAAACAGGCCGCATTGAGCAAGCAGGGTAGCAGAGGGGCAGAGATGCAGGCCCTCTCCTGCTCTGGTTGTCCCCCTAAAAGGAGAGCACCCCGCCTTCCTGCAGAATGCTCTCCATTCTGAGGTCCCCCTGTCAAGGGCTGATTCCATGTCTTTAATCACCTCTGGGGAACATTGGTGGAGACAACCACAGCAAGAAGGACAATGGGGTCTGTTGTAGGACCAGAGACCTCTGTCCCTACACCCGTGTCCACACCTGGTCTCCGGGGCACATCTGTTGGGTTATGGTGGGGCTGGGGGGTATGATCAGACCTTCTGGAAGACAACAAGCCCCACTGATATCTTTAGGTGGCCCAGAGTTCTAAGTAGTGGGAGGGAGTGTCAGGAACGGGGCTGGGGAGGGCTGCAGAGAGGACTCGCCCGGTAAACTGTAGGAAAGGCTGAATAATAAATACCTCAGCACCAGCAACCCTCTGCTGCTCTCTGGAAAGATAACTCTTTGGCCCAAGGAAAGAGTGAGTTCTGTTCAGGTGATTGTACTAGAAGTGGTCCATAATTCCCTTCACCCAGCCTCACGGCTACCCCAGGAGTGATGGGGTACAATGGTCCCAGCAGCGGGGAGCCCCATGTTCTCTACCAGAAGGTGTCCTGCTCAGAGCCCACTTCAGGATACCGTGGGCTTCCTGCCGCTCACATGGATCTGTGGGCATGACTTCTCCAGGACCTGCCGGGCCTTTTCACTGTGAGCCCTCAGTAATGCAGGGGAGGCCAGGCCCACCTAAGAGGGGCAGGCCGGGATTTGCCCTGATACCTAGGCTATCTCTGTGTGAGTAACTGGGAACCACAGCCCAATGGAACAGAGACTGACATAGGCTGAACCGGAGTCCAGGCTCAGGTTACGTGTGTCCCCTTTGGTTCCCTTCCTTTGCAGACACAAGGCTAAGCCAGGGATCCAGGGATGTCACACAGCATGTGTGAAACACAAAGACGAATGCCCCCCATTCTCTGCTCATGCTAGATGCTGTCATTTCCTGAGGTCTGGGAAGCCCAGGCCCTGGCATGGTGTACGGGTCAGGCCTACAGGCAGGCAGGCCATGGGATTGGAATAGCCAGCAGCGATTGTGTTGGCTGCTATCTTAAGTCATTTACAGTGGGTCCCAGAGAGGTTAAACAACTTGTCCAGGGTCACACAACACAGCGGTGCCAAAGCTAGGGACCTAACTTACTCTGCCAAAACCAAGCCAACACTTACTGAATTTAGAAAGGCTCACCAGGGAAAGCCAAGGCTAAACCTAGGAGCACCTATGGAACCAGGGGCTGGGGAGCGAGCATGGGATAGGGGACCAGGACGAGTTAGGAGGCAGGGATGAGCATTTTTCTCCCTGCTGGCTCTCTTCGCCTGCTGTCTTGTTACTTCCTCCTAGCTCCCGCCTGCCTCCCTGCCCACCCCCACCCCTCCCACTCCCCTGGAACCCCGCCTCCCCGTCTCAGCTGTAAGGGGATGTGAAACAGTTGAGGAACCAGAAACCACCCCAGAAAGACATGGGGGATGAGGTAGACTTTCCTGAAGTGAGTTCACCCTGGAAAGAGAAGCTCCTGAAGGGGTGCAGAGTGGGGGTGGGGAGCGTCTGTGCTGGAGGGGCTGAAGCTCCCTCCCCCTCTTGCCCCATTCACAAAGCTCATTACCATTTGAAAGCTTGGAGACCCCAGCTGTGCCCAGATGACTCATTTGTTTAACCCCGCCTTTCCCAAACTCACAGAGTGTGTCATCACTGGGTGTCCTGACAGGGAGGGGCCCATGCAGCCCAGCACTGCTAGGTCCCCTCCCTCTTCCCCACTTCCTCTGGACAGCTACACAAGCCGGGTGGCCCTGCTCCCCAGGTGGGGCCTTGGCACAGTGGGCAGGAAACTCAAGAGGGTGGGGCCTCTCCTGGGATCTGGGTCACCTCAGGAAGAAAGGGGTGCTACTGCGGGCAGCTCCCCCACAGGCAGAGCTGAGCAGATGGCACACAGGATTATGAAAATCCAGCTTTGTTCTCGGCCAGGGAGGCTCAGTCAGGAGGAGGGAGAGGCGGTGGCACCAAATTGAGCTCAGAGCAGCCAGCCCCCCAAAGAGCAGCACATGCAAAAGGGCTTCCTGTTTGTGGAACCCCTAAGCCAGACTCATCTTCAGCTGCTTCGTCCTGGTCCTGGGGTGGCAGAGGGTAGGCAGGGTAGCCCACTCTGCTCTTACATAGGTGCCAAGGCATCACAGTAGTGTGGCCTTTTCACTGGCCATCTTCATGGTGGCCATATACACACAGGGATAGGGAGGATGTGGAAGGCAGAGGGTTAATGATGAAGGTTAAAGTAATGGTGAAGATGATAATGGTGGTGATGATGATGGTGGTGATGAGAGTGATGGTGCTGATGGTAATAATGGTGCTGATGATAGTGATGGTGCTGATGGTAATAATGGTGCTGATGATAGTTATGGTGCTGATGGTGGTAATGGTGGAGATGGTGGTGGCTGTGTTAGTTACTTGCCTATCGCTGTGATAAGATGCCACAACCAACCAGCTTACAGAAGGAAGGATTTATGTGTTTACGGTTCAAGAGGGACCAGAGTGGAAAAGTGGAGAGGCACGGCAGGCAGTCACGGTGGCTGAACAGCAAGTTGAGCAGTCATACCGTAACTACAAGCAGAGAGAGCAAACCGAGAATGGCGTGTGGCATTTGAAACCTCAAAGCTTACCCCAGTGACATACATCCTCCTGCAAGGTCACATATCCAGATCCTACCCAAAAAACACCACCAACAGGGACAAAGTGTTCAAATCCTGAGACTATGGGGGCACTCTCTCCCAAACCACTGTAGTGACAATGCTGACGATGTCAGTGGCAGCTGCCATTGACTGAGTGCTGGCTTCACGTGTGGAGGTGCGAGCTGTGTCATCCACTCTAGAACTCAGAGGTATACCATCATGAGGCCTGAATTTGTGCCTGGCTCTGGAGTACACACACTAAGCCACAGTTAGCCAGACCGAACAGTGTCACGCGTGACTGCCCAGCTTGGCTGCTATGGAGTGAAAGCTGTCATATGACAGATGTGGCTTTGGCTAGTGCACCCCTGTATACAAAAGCAGACCCTGGTTCCCCAAGTCTGTGTCACCCCCCTGCGTGTACCCTGACTTCTCTCTCACTGAGCTCCAGTGTGATTCCTGGTTGGCTGCCTCCCTACACACTTCCCACACCATCTACAATGTCAGGGCACAACTCCTAGAAGGATTCCTCTGTGTATGACGTCTCCCTCTTTCATTCAAACAGCTGTTGACTAGTATTTACTATTTATTATCAGTGTTATGAAAACATTTCCTTAAAATGATACTGATTATTATATATGTATTAAACACATAATTAGTAACAATTATTGTTACCAGTGTAAGGTTTTGGGGTCAAAGTGGCATAGTGACTTAGTCCAGGTACTCAGCTGATGATCTTGTGGAACTTCTCAGAGTCTCGGGGCTCACGGGGGCTCACAGAGACTGAAGTGGCCATCTCAGAGCCTGCCTGGGTCTGCTCGAAGTTCTCTGCATATATGTTATGACTGTTTGGCGTGGGGTTTTGTGGGGCTCCTAACAGTGGGAATGGGGTGTCTCTGACTCTCTCGCCTGCTCTTGGGGTCCTTTCCTTCCACTGGGTTGCCTCATCAGCCTTGCTATGAGGGTTTTCAGTGGACACCTGGGAGGCCTGCTCTTTTCTGAAGGGAAACAGTGGATCTGGAGGAGAGAAGAGGCTGTGGGAACTGAGAGGAGTGGAGTAAAGAGAGGCTGCAGTCAGGACGCATTACATGGGAGGAGAATAAATTAAAAGGAAAAAAGGGAAGGAAAATCAAGAAAAATGGGGAAAGTATCCCTGCCTGCCTCCCTTCCAGGACCTGTGAAAACAGAATAGGCAACGGCTTGTAAGTCCTCCTCTGCCCAGTGGGGGCGCCACTGAAGAGTAATGATCATGACTCCCAGGGTGAGCATGGGCTCCTGCATGGCGGACGAATGAAGCGTGGATGACAGATGCATTGTGGCCTCTTTCCGGCAGGCCTGCCGCCACCTGACCCTTCCCTCCCTGCCCCTCTTCCTCAGGTACACCTGTATTCAGACCCGCCCCAGCCCAATCAGAGCATCTGCTCTGGGACAATGCCACAAGGAAGCAAGGTCTTGTCCTTCTCTGTCCCACAACCCAGGTCAGCAGAGTGGTGGCCCGGCCCCGCGCGGAATCCGCAGGCCTCTGAGGCCACCGGTGAGTCGGGGAAGGAGCCAACCTCCTGCTCCTCCGCCCCAGGGCAGTTGATGGGATGACACTGGCTTAGAGCCAGGGGAATGGAGTGCCAAGGCCCTCTCTGGGCCAACCGACTTGACCAAGCTAAACAGCTGGGTAGACCCTTGGCTAAGCCACCTGGCCTCTTGGCTCTGTGGTGCGAACATTTTCACTGAGCCCATTGTAAGCCCTAACGTGGACACATATGACTTCAGTCATGTCAGAGCCCATGATAGTCAGGAGACCTGGGGCTCAGAGAGGCAAAGGCATGCCAGAGTCACACAGCTTGGAAAGGAAAGGACCAGAATTCGAACCTGAATTAGAGTCCTTGCCCCAGGCTCCCCTTTCTCTCAGCTTTCGTCGAGGGTAGATCTGTGCTTCATTTTCTCTGGCAGTGGAGCAGCATAGTGGCCAGCCTGGGCTAACGTGAAGGTAGCCAGAAAGGGCCAGTCTTGATGCTATGGTGGTCTGAGTGGGCCTCAGGCCTTCAGCCTCAGTGGACTGGGGAACTGTCCTCAGCCCCAGGGTTCAGCGGCTGTGTATTCCAGGGTGGTCGTCTCCACGAGCAGACCTGAGTCCTCCCTCGTCCCCCAGCATGGCCACCCCACGGCGGCTTCCTCAGAGCCCGGGCGTTGCTGCAGACCAGCCCTCCACAGGACAGACCCGGGCACTGACCTCCCAGGCCAGCCAGCTCCTAGCCAAGGTGAGTGAACCCCAGTTTTTCCCCATGAGACGCCCCATCCCATCGGACCTCTGTGTGTGAGAGACGCTTCCGCCAGCCCCAGATGTCTCTGCTCTACCTCCATGTGGTCTAACTCTGCCTTCCAGGAACTTGGCCAGCCCCCTTGCCCTCAGGTACCACTTGATCCAACCTCCTTGTCACCCAGGACAAGGTTGAACCTGTCTGTTGACCTCCACCGACCTTTCCCTCTTTGTGACAAACTGCCCCTCCTGTTCTTTATTACCGAAGTCAACCCTGCTACCTCTTAAGGCTTCCCAGCCAACACTGCGGCTCAGCCTTATCTGCAGCCTTTGCCTAACTTCACACTTAGCCTTATTCCAGAGGTGTCTAAAGAGGCTCGCGAAGACACAACGCCTTAACCACACTCAGAGAACGGAAGTGGGGGCCCCGTGGCAGAGGGGAAGTCCACATAGAGAAAAGTAAAGTAAGCCAGCTCATAGCCAGTAAACGCGATGTCGTGTGGGCCCTTGAACCCCAGCTAGAACCCCACCTGGCTTTGGAGCTCCCGGCTCTCCGTTACATTGCTCTTCCAGAAAACCAGTTCCTTTCACCACCACCATTGTTTGCTCTCCTTTTCCGTGGGGCCTGGGGCGGAGTAACGGCTTTACCGAGGTCTAGTGCACCCATCACACTTTGCTCATTTCAAATGTGAGCACTCACGTGCTTCCTGTGTCACGGTCTGTGTTAGCATATCTCCTTCGCCAGGAAGACACAGTCTGGGAAGCAGCCCCTGACTGCCCCCCCCTCAGCCCCAGCAACTCCTCACCTGCCCCAGTCTCTGCAGTTCTTCTGTTCGGATGTCACATGAGCGGATTCAGCCCCGACTTTCTTCCTGTCTGACATCTTGCGGTTCCCCTGGTGTTGTCCAGCCCCATGGTGGTAGAGCAGAGTGTCACTCCATCACCACTGTTCTTGGTCCCGCCACTGGAGTCAGGCCACACTGAGCAGGTGCCGGGCGTGGCTGTCCCACCTGGGAGCCACTGTCCCTTATTGGGATTTCATTCCTGACATGGAACATGTCTGAGAGAGGATGTACTGGGAGTACAAACACTGGAGCGTAAAGTGGAGCTCAGCTGTCTCACAGACTGGTAGCTCATGCCTGCAACCCCAGCACTGGAGAGGCTGGGACAGGAAGGTTGCTGTGAGTTCAAGGCTAGCTTAGGATACTATCTTTTTTTAATTGATTTTTATTTAAATTATAAACAATCTTATTTTACATACTAATCCCAGTTCCTTCTCCCTCCTGCCCTCCCATTCCCCCCACCATCTCCCCATCCCATCTCCAGTTCCTTCTCCCTCCCGCCCTCCATTCCCCCCACCATCTCCCCATCCCATCTCCCATCCACTGCTCAGGGAGGGTGAGGGGGATCAATGGGGGGATCATCAAGGTCTGTCACATCATTTGGGGCAGGACCCAGGCCCTCCCCAGTGTGTCTAGGCTGAGAGAGTGTCCCTTCATTGAGAATGAGCTCCCAAAGTCCAAAGTCCATTCGTGCACTGGATAAATACTGGTTCCACTGCCAGTGGTCTTATAGTTTGCCCAAGCCTCCCAACTGACACCCACATTCAGGGGGCCTGGTTTGGTCCTATGCAGGTTCCCCAGCTGTCAGTCTGGAGTCTGTGAGCTCCTCCTTGATGAGACCCTATCTTTAAAAACAACATCTCTCACTGGACTCATTGGTATTTTTTTTATTGATTGCATATCAAAATGGTATTTGTGACCAAATAAAATATATTAAGAACCAGCAAAAAAGGGGGGCTTACTACCAAGTGACCTGAGTTTGAGCCTCAGAATATGCACGCATGCACACACACACACACACACACACAAACACAGTCACTGTAGAAGGATAGACCTCTACATGTACAACATGGTATGTATACACACACAAGCGTGTGTATCTGCCCATCTATGCATGAGCATGTGCACATTCACATATAATAAGTGTAATTTAAAATAAAATATATTACTAAAATTAATTCCACTTATTTCTTTTACATTTTAATTTCCATAAAACTTTTGATTATATAGTTATATGTAGCTCATATTACATTTCTATTTTATATATTATGTAAGTAACATGGTATAATTCAGTTATATAAATTTCTCTACGTCAGTTTACCTTCGTTCCTCAATAAATGCATTGCGATTTTTATTTTACATATTTTTGTCCTTTCTTTTGCTGCAGTTTTAGGGCTAGAACTCAGATCCTTGTTTCTTTCTCTCCTATTGTCAAGGTGGAATCCTTTGAGGAACTGGTACTCACCGGACATCTCCCACCCCAGGACCAAATCAAGGTACTGCTACCCAATGTGGAGTCACACCAGCAGTGACCAGATAGCCTGTCCCCAGAGTTGAGTCTCTGAGCCCCTTTTGCTGAAGGCAGGTGGCTCTCTCTCATGGGAGCTGAGACCTCCCACTTGGTGCCCCAGGAAGCTGCTTACTGTGTGGTGGTAGAAAGCCCCTGCTGAGCCATGACGTTTACCAGACAGGCTGGGTGTGTCATCACTGTGCCTTATAAATGCCCACGGGGACCTGCGATCATTGCCCCTGCTTAACTATGATGATGCAGAAGCCCAGAGAGAAGTGACAGCGAATCCACACTTGAGGGGCAGCAGAGCCCTAAGGCAGGGCTGCTGCCTCCCCAGTCATGACTCCTGCCCTGCCGTACCCCCAGGCTCCAGAAAAGGGGCCTTTGCTTTCTAACCTGTCCTATCATTTTCCAAAACTGCAAACAGAGGGTAAATAGGAGAGGGGATCATTTCTCTGTGAAAACGCTGATCCGGGATAGACTTGCCTCCTTTGGATGCGGGTTTGAGGTAGTTATGGCCAGACATGTCTAATGCCAGCACTCAGGAGAGAGAGGCAAGAAGATCAGAAGTTAATCTTCAGCACCATAAGGATAATAGGCCAGTCTGGGCTACATGAGACCCTGTCTCGAAAAAGTCCCTTTAAAATGTAAACAGGCCCAGAGATTTTATTGATGGAATACATTTTAATGACTTCATACATGTATATAACAAACTCTATTTCCATCTCCTCAACTGTTGGTCACTTCTGTATGTCAGCAACCTTTCGAATTCCTCTTTTGTAGTTCTCTCTGTTGTTGTCTTTACAGTGCTGGGGTCTGAACTAGGGTTCCATGCGTGTATGCTTAGGCGAACATTCCGCCACTGAGCTGTGTCCTCAGTCTTCATTTTTCATCTTTAAAATTTGTATTTATTACCGGTGTGTGTACAGATATGTGTACGGGGAGAGAAAAGAACATGCATATATGCACACAGGCAGTGTTGCGTGCGTGCATGTGTGCACATGTGTGTGTGCGTGTGCATGCGTGCGTGCATGTGTGCGTGCATGCGTGCGTGCATGCACGTGTGTGCGCGTGCATGTGTGTACGTGTGTGCGCGTGTGTGCATGCGTGCATGCGTGTAAGTGTGTGTGCGCGTGTGTGCGTGCGTGTGTGTCACAGTGTAGAGGCAAGAGGACTGCTCTGTGGAGTCAGTTCTCTCTCTCCACCTTGACACGGGCTCCAGGGATTGAACCTGGGTCACCAGGCTCGGATGATCAGTGTCCTCACCCATTGAGCCATCTGACTGGCGCCAACTCTTCAATTGTGAGGCAGGATCTCACTGAATCACCCAGGCTGGCTTTAAGCTTGTCATCCTCCTGCCTCACCCTCCCAAGTGGACTACAGGCTGTGCCACGCCACCGCATTCAGCTCTCCTCTAGCTCTGAAGCCTGTGATGATGCTGTAACCAGCATCGGCGTTTGTCCCGCCCACTTCCCTACTGTGGTGAGTGATGCCCAGCCTTCGCCTGCCCTCCTGACCTTCCTGGCCTCTGGTGCTCATTGCCCCCTCTTCTATGCCAGTGTTTTGGCCTCTTCATGTGAGTGACGACATGTGACTTCTGTCCTTGTCTGGTTTCACTTAGCACAAGTCCTGTGGGGCCATCTTTCCTGTCACAAATGACAATTTAAAAATGTCATTTTCTTCCTCTCCATCCTCATTCTTCCATATATAGGGAATCTGGGGGCTTCTGGGAGGTCAGACATGGCTGGAAACTATATCCTGGGTTCCCCTTGGCCTCAGTCTGTTCCTAGGCTCATGTAAGAAGGGACTAATGGACCAGAGACCAACATCCATCTATTGATTGACTGTGCTTGTGTTTATTACTATGAGGGCCTAGCAGAGTTGTTAGGACTAGGAGCTCTAGGTCTGGGTTCAAGTCTTGCCTGTACAATTTGTTCACTTACTGTGTGAGTTTCAGCAATCTAAATAATTTTTGTGCTTCACTGGCTAATTATGTCTTGTTGGGATTCTGTTGGAGTAGGAATGAATGAATGAAGAATGTTTTGCCTAAGAGCCACCCTGACAGTCACCTTTATGTACAGTGTGGGATGATAGTGCCATCTGTCCTCACTATCTGTAAGAACTGGGAAAGAGAGTGACATATGTTCCGAATGGCGCAGTTTGCATATCAGGAAAGAAGACCTGGGCCCTCTAGAGTGTTAGAACTTCATGGGGACACAGTGGCCGTGTGTTTGATGCTGCATCTCACCAGGTACCTTGGGTCCTATGATCTTCCCAAGAAGAGCCAGTGGCCTCTGGCCTGGTTCCTAGACTTCAAGTGTTTTACGACAGAGCGCTGCACCTGGACAGAAGCCTCGAGAGGTGCCCAGCTGCAGCCTGCTTCTCAAGCCCCATGAGGCTCCCATAGCCCCCAGGAGCCACCCAGCCATTGTGTGAGCGTGTAGCCCTAAGGGCAGGCACTCAAGTCTCCTGGCCCTTGTGTTTCAGAGCTTGGAGCAGCTGAGGGCGGCCCACGGAGCCCTTGAGGCAGAATACCTTGAGGCCTGCAAAAAACGGCATCTGAACCCAAAGCCTGACGCCTCCACAGGAAGTCCCAGGACCCTCAATCTCTGCAGGTAGGTTCTGGCGAGACAGGCCCTAGGGACAGGTGGGACAGGCCCCTGGCTCCCTTTGTGTCCAGGAAGGATTCATTTCACACTCATCGCTGAGTCACAAGAGCGGTGGGAGCCACGTCCTAATGAGCAACGTGGCTAGAGCTGAGAATCCTTAAGATGATCAGAACTTCAAGACCCCTCACTAGACAGTGGGGAAACTGAGGCCAGGGGAAACTGGGATCTACTTAGAGTCACACAGCACAGGGATAGCAGAGGGTACTGAACTGAGACTTCCTGGCTCCCAGTGGAGTTTTATCATCTTGCTATTGAAGTTCTCGGTGCCATCTCAGTGGATCCTGAGAGGACATTCATAGGATCTCCGATTTGATACGTGTCTCCATGATGATATTTCCTCCTTCCAGGGAGCTAGAGGCAGAGATCTGCCGCCTGGGGCAGCGCCTGGAAGAGCTGCAGGACCACATGGACCAGACCCAGAGGGAGCCAGCATCATGCAGTCCAGATCTGCCGGGCAACGCCCCAGCCACACCCTTCCTGTCCCGACCAGCTCATGTAGCTAGGCCTTCAGGATCAGTCTCCTCACCAGCCGTCCACACCTTCCATGAGGTACTGCTCTGCCCCATTGCACTGGGCCAGCCCCCATTTCTGCTTTTATTCATTCCACGTCAGTGTCTTTACTTGCATATTTAGGAGGTATGTGCCGTGTTCTAGACCCCATGACACACGGTGGGGATTCAGTGAGGACAGAAGGTGGAGAAGGCGACCTCTGCCCTTATGGAGTTTCCTGGATACATGGACTAGTTGTAGTGTTATTTATCATTTTGATAGTATTCTGAAAGAGAAGTCCAGGCTCTGTGGAAGTAAAGGGAGGACACCACATCTGACTATGGGGAGGGCATGGAAACTCTCTGAAGAAGATATGTTTTAAGTGAGATCTGAGAGTAAATAAGTGCAGGAGACAAGTCATTCAGCAGGGCGTGGTGGCCTGAGTGAGTGGGCTATAGTCAGCCATGTGGCTGGAGACCCCATGATATTGAGCCTGTGGATCGTGTCTCAAACTGGACTTAGATTCTCCCTGGGTTTTCAGAGGGTGTCAGAATGACGATGCGGGGTGTGTCAGGGCAGCAGGAGAGATGAATACTTGAACTTGGACAAGGTTCAGAAGGCTCATTTGAGTGAACTCGGAAGGCAGTGGGAGAGAAGGCAGCTAGGTTGGCTTCCGGGCCTCCAGCCTGGAGTAGGCGACAGGGTGTGCATGCTTACATGGCTAAGACACCAGACACAGACTGCATAGAACATGCTCTCCACGGGGCCCTCTCCACATCATGGTCTGCTAAGGGACGACCACTCTCTTCCTCGGGCCAGTGAGCTGTGGTCACACAGATGGCAGTGGCGGCACCTCTGTGCCCCCAAGCTCCTGCTCCTGGCCTGTGGAGACTTGGGTGCAGGAAACCAGCAGGGTGGGGCTGGTGCATTAGGTGAGTGGGTGAGAACTGACGCTGAGGGTTGGGGACTTCCCCACCACAGAACAACCCAGACAGGTGGCATTTCCTGTGCCGACAGGAAGCCTGGGTGGCCAGGCTACAGGGGAAGGAATGAGGGCAGGTGCCTCTGGCAGGCAGGCTGCCCTGGTTTCTGTGTGGCTCCGTGTCTGTGTGAGGCATGTGCGGGGCCACTGAGGAGAAACTGTGTTTGCAGTATGCCTGGCAGGCTCCAGGAGCTCAGATAACAGCAACCAGCCGTGACGACACCCTGGTCTTCAGGGTCTCACACACAGTGGCAGGAGACAGGCCAACAAGTCACCACTCTTCAGTATGTGACACTAGATGGTAGAGACAGGTGCTCAGAATGGTGATTAATCTCGATCCCACACTCCCTTGTACCAGCCTGCCGCCACCGCCACCTCCCCTAGGAGCTCTTGCGTATGCCCCACGAACAAGGAGGTGAGCCCGGGCAGCATCAAGGCAGAGGAAAGCCCGAGAGAGCTCCCAGCCCCACTCAGGGACAGGGAGCTTCAGATGGAGCAGGACTTCCACGGCCTTCTGGAGCAGTGAGTATCGTAGGAGGGAGACGCTGTCCGCTGCTGGGCTGGTCACACTGGGCCTCGTCTGTCCCCTTGAGCAGAGGTGACATCTCTGGGCATCCTCCTGCAGATACCTCAGTGTGAAGTCTCTCCCTGAAGCCTTGAGGGTGGAAGATGAGGAGGGTCTGAAGGAGAAGGAGGAGCTGGACCACCTTGGTACCTTGGAATCGGATGGTCCAGCCACAGCTCCAGGAGAAGTGGAAGCCACAAGGGTACCATCAGGACAGCGCCCAGCACAGGCTGAGGAAGGCCATAGGGCTGCCAGCCAGTAAGTCACTGGGCCTCTGTCAGAAACTCCAATGTCCCACACACGCGTGGCCGTTGGCAGCAGGAGCAAAAGTGTTTGGACTGTAGCTGGGGGGGGGGGTGTAGAGCATTTGCCTAACATGCTCTGAGTTCAAGTCCTATTTCAGGAAAACAAAGCAACAGTGACAAAAAGTATCCAGCCTGTGATAGTGTTGTCATGTTTCGCACATTACTTCTAAAGTTAGTTTCTTTTTTGTAACATAAAATCTTGGTCTTCCATGTGTAATAATGTTGTCTTCTGAGTCCATGGAAGTCTGTGGAAATAGCTAATGCGGGGAAGGGCATGTGAGTCCTCAGGCTCTGGGAAGCTCTGCTGTAGCTGTGTCTCTGCTGTCATGTGCTGGGTGTGTTTTGTTGGTTTCCTGCCTTACAATTAAGAGTATGAGTTTCCTGAGGAGTGGATGGGGTGGGAAGGGTGGGAGGCAGGGGGCTGGAGGAGGGGGAGAGACTGGGGTTGGTACATAAAATTCAAGACAAAATTTTTTAAATAAAAAAAAAGAGTATGAGGTTCAGAGAGGGAAAGTTCAGCCCAAGGCACACAGTTAGGTGACAGAGCCAGGATTCAGTGTCCCAAGAGATGTGTGTCTGATGCCCGAGCTTGCCCCTGTACTTAAGCACTGAGCCCCAGGTTCACCTGGCTCTCCTGGGGGTTCAGAAATGCTCTTTTTTCTCCTTCCCTCCCAGGGAAGAGGAGGAACAGGCGGTGTCCATGCAACCACCAAGCTCCCGGACATCCATGGCCAGAGATAGGTACGCCCCAGGCCTCGGTGCAGCTGAAGTGACTCGAAGGGGCACCAAACCCATGGCATCACATCAGAGCAGTCTAACCAGCCTGGAGGAGAATGGGCCCACAGAGCTCCTTCCTCGGAAAGCTCTGCTTCGGGCTGGCGCCGCCCACACCGAGGTGAGTGTGCCTGTGGGATGGGCCCAGAACATACCCTGGTGTGGGAGCTCTTTTCCTGGCCTTTTTATGCCACAATGTGTCAGAGCTGGGACCTGACTCCTAACTGTGCTATTTGCACCAGCAGAGTGGTAATTCTCAAACTGTTGCTGGGGTGACGGGCCACATGAAATGCCGCTGAGGCTATATGTGTGTGTGTGTGTGTGTGTGTGTGTGTGTGCACGTACACTCATGCGCACATGCACACTACAAATCACACACATACTACATACATATATACCTGTACAAATAGACATGGGCATGGAGATGTGCACACTTCTGATGAACTTACGCTCGGCAGTCTCCGCACTAGACCCCGAGAACGCTGAGGTGGTGGGGCACTGACGTCATTCACATGTTCCATGTGTTCTGCTTTAACTCACGTCCTGGTGTGTGCATGATGTATGCCGTCCTGGGTGTCTCTGCAGCACATGGAATTGTCTTCACCAAAAGACCTGGGCTAAGGCTTTTTCCTCCTCCTCCTTCTACACCTTGCAAACCCTAGCATCTTCCCCAAGAGCCCAAATGGAGCCCTCTCAGGGTCCTCTTGGGACAGGGAGTCTTATGCTAGTCTGGCTATAGTATCAGGCAGCCCTGGGGTCTTGGAGCCCCTAGAATGTGAGGCCAGGAACTGGGCCAATGCATGGGAATATTTTCCTTAGACTTAACAGATATGGCCTTTTCTAGGAGCCCTGGATGGCGTCACCAGAGACAGACAGTGGCTTCGTGGGCTCAGAAACTAGCATTGTATCACCCTTCACCCAGACCCCAGAGCACCGGCTCACCCACGTCAGGTATTCCAGTCTGCCATTTTCACAGGCCTGGGGCATCCTGAAAACCCCAGAGTCTGTGGTAGCCCAGAAAGAGATGTCAGTAGTCTCAGTGTCTGCACACCCTCACGCCAACCCACACGATGGTCCCTGTTCCCGTCATGCTGACAGAGGGGAGGAGAGGCTCCAAGAGCAAGAGCGTCTTACTGAATGTTGCTCAGTCTATTCGCAACTGCAGGGAGGACAGTGGGTGACAGGCGCCGTGCACAGAAGGGGGCCTGGGGGGCAGGTGCAGAGGGACCGGAATGAACTCAGGGAAAGCGGAGGTGGAGATCTGTAGGAAACAGAGTGGCCAGGTCACCGTGGAGACTGGTGATCCCCAGGGCAGGCACTGGTCACCTGGAGGCCCACGTGGAAGGGACTAGAATGGACAAGATGAACAGAGCTTGTTCCTGCCCTGTAAGGCTGACAGGTGCACTGTGATGAAATGTACGTAAGAACAAGGATGCCCCTCGTGGTGTTGTCCTCAGTCCTCAGATGCACTGAGATGCTGGAGATAGGCAGCCCTAGTCGAGAGCTCACGCTTCAGCACAGAGTGGCTTGGGTACCGTGGCCTGAGGCCTCTCTGTCTAACCTTAGTGTGTCCCTCCTGCCCTGGCCTCCAGCGCTCCAGGGACATCAGCTCAGCACCTCACTGCCTCTGCGCCTGGTGATGGAGCCTCCCATCCCAAGGCCAGGGGCTCTGTGATGCCCAGAAGATCCACCGAGGCTGCCACACCCAGAAGCCGAGCCCAGCAGCGTCTCTCCCGCCCGAGCAGCTCTCTCCGGCAAGGGGCACACAGTTCCCAGCTGGGACAAGCACCAGTGGTTACGATGAGTGAGTGGGGAGCCCGGGTAGGCCACAGTCTGGGGGCGACTAAACTGTATGAGTCAAAGAGTCAAACAGTCTTGTACTTCAGGCTGGGAAATACTATGAAGGTTCATCACAGGAAAATTAGAGATTACAGCCAGGAGCGGGAGAGATAGCTCAGTTGGTTAAGTACTTGCCTTGCAGCCATGAGTTTTATCCCCAAGGACCAAGTAAAAATGAGAGTGAGTGCCATTTGTAATTCCAGGGTTAGGGAGGCAAAGACAGGTAGATTATAGTGACTCTCTGACCAGCTAGTCAAGCCAAATGGCAGCCCCAGAGCAGTGAGATCCTGCCTCAGAAACCAAACAAAACAACAACAAACAGGGACTGGGAAGCTGACTAAATTGTTAAAAGCACTTGCTGCTCTTTCAGAAGATCGAGGCTCTATTCCCAACATCTCTACCAGGCTCTCACAACTGCCTATACCTCCAGCCCCAGGGGGCTCTGACTCCTCTGGCCTTCAAGGACACCAGCATTCAATAGCATACCACACACACTCACACACACTCACACACTCACTCACACTCACACACACTCACACACACTCACTCACACACTCACAAACACACTCACTCACACTCACACACTGACACACTCACACACTCTCACACACTCACACTCACTCACACTCACACACTCACTCACACTCACACACTCACTCACACTCACACACTCACTCACACTCACACACACTCACACTCACTCACACTCACACACTCACTCACGCGCACACACAAACACACACTCACACACTGACACACTCTCACTCACACACACTCACACTCACTCACACTCACTCACACACACTCACACTCACACTCACACACACACACACACCACACCACCCTTCAGCTGAAGCTCCAAGGCTCGTCTCTGCTGCTCACGTTAGCTTCTCTCTGTCTCTCTAGGGCTTCCCAGGTCTGAGTTCAAGAGACAGAAGCAGATTTCCAAACAGCTCCGTCCTAGTGGAGCAACCAGCCCAGCCTCTGACCCAGCCCCCACAGCTGCCTCCGTGTCGCATGGGTCAGCAGAGAGCACTGCCAGCCTCCTCCTCACCAGGACAGAGCGCGAGTAAGTGGACACAGCCTGGGCAATCCCGCCTCACTGTAGGATGGGAAGCAGAGGAGGCTGAAGACCGAGGCAGTGCCCTACCTGGCTTACACATTCAAGGTGCCTGTGCTGGGGCCAGGCATGCCAGGGTCTTGCCTCCTAGCTCGGAGCTGTTTTACAGGGCCTCAGTGGTATTGCCTTCCAGGACTCTTGTCCAGCCAATGGGAAATGATTGACAGGTGCAGCTTGCTGACTCTGAGATCTTCCCCCCACCACTAGCCCCGCTGTGCAGCATCTGTATTCCAGATTAGTATAAAGTGAGGCATGGGGGCCACACCCTGTAGTTCCAATAGGTGGAGTCAGGAGGATTATGGGTTCACTGCAAGCCTGGGCTAGATGACGAGAACCTGTCATCTCTCAGCAGTTTCCTGAGATCCTTCCCTGATCAAATAGAAGACCCTCTGTTACTTCCTGGAACACACTGGGAACTTTGTGAGGTGTCCTGACCAGTACAGTCATGTTTGTTACCCTGTGCCGTCCTGCTGAGCAGCTGGTGCTCTGTGTCATGATCTGAACTGAATTTCTCTATCCCTGCAGTCTACCTGGACCTCAGTGAAGCGGTGTGTCTGTGTGTGTGTGTAGACATAGAGAAAGAGACACAGAGAGAGGCACATTCGCTCATGGTGTGTCAGGCCTTGGAGATGCATTAAGGAACTAGACACTCCTCAGCTCTGGAAAGCTCACCATTTTGTAGGCCAAGAAGCATGCAGGTGCTCCCCAAGTGTGGTCAGTCCCTCGCCAGTAGAGTCTGAGGGATTGTGGGGGAGCAGAGGTTGTGCCCTTGCTCTGGAGGAAGCTGAGAGCTAGAGGAAGCTCCAGAGAAGAGCATCTCTGGTGGAGGAAACTGTGTGCATAGACAAGGGGGTGAGGGTACGTGTCTCCTCTCAAGTACCAGATGGCCATGACTAGAAGGAGATGCTCTGAGTGTCAAGAGTGAGAAATACAGAAACCGCTCCAGTAGGCGTGGTGGCCTAGACCCCGAGGACCTTCAATACTGTAGGCAGCAGTCTGCACAGCTTACGGAATGCACTAGCGAGTGCTGTGTAGCTATGTAAAAGATGGTTCTAGGGACAATGAGAAGCTTTAAGTGGCAAAGTGGCCTGTCACTGCTGTGCTTTAGAAGGTCCCTGGCTGCTACAGGGGTCAGCACACAAGCCAAGAAGGATGCCTCAATAAGGGAAAGGTGATTCCCGACTCCAGAGAGGAGGGGCGTTTCTAAGAAGAGCTGTTGGTGGCATTCCGCTGTGCTGGCATTCAGTGGGGATTGGTGGGCTATGAGGCTTGGAGGTGTGGGGAAGGAGGACCTGAGGGACCGTGCTGGCTGCTTGCTGGCTGCTGACTTTTGAGCAGGGTCAGGAGTGAATCTGCAGAAAGATGAACCATAGTCCCCGGTGAACCTCAAGCAACTGAAGTGTTAAGTCAGGAAGCTCAAGAGCAGCCAGAGGACAGGTGGCACCCAAGGCTGCCAGGTCCCAGGCCAGGAAGCCAAGCTTTGTGTCCTAGATTTAACCAGTTGCTGGGATCAGCCACCATGGCCCCTAGTTTTAGAAACCCTAGCAAGCATCTCCCTGGAGATCACCTAGGAGACTCATGCCTGGTGCACACACAGCTTGGTTGGACATGGCCAGAGGGAGGTCCCCAACCTTCCTGTGCGATCACCACAGAGATCATATCTGCAGGTGGCAACAGGAGACGCTCACCCGAGAGTCCAGGGATCCTGAAGGGAATCCCCAGGCTGGGTATCACACAGAGTGTCTGCAGAGCCCACTCAGCCTGGATGATGGCCACACCAAGCCTAAGCCCGAGTGGTACTCTGTGCGTGGGGTCTGTGTCGGGGTGTTGGTTGATTTGTCCTCAGCGGTGCTGGCAAGGCCACAGGACCCTGAGAGCTCAGAGAGCCAGGGGCCTCGCAGGCCAGAGCAGGCAATGTTACTCTTTCAAGTAATGCAGTGTCTTTGGACAGGAGGTAGGTCGTGTCTAGAGGTCTCAGGGGACACAGAAGGCAGCCTAGCAGACATCTTTCAGCCTGCTCACTCCACGGCACCAGGAGCACATGGAGTCCCCTTGGCTCACTCTGGGACCCTTTGCTCTCTCCCTCTGAAGCCTCAGTCCAGGAATGTTCCCCAGCATCTGATGGCTCTAGCTTTCTAAGATGGGGTGCTTATCCTTCCTGCCTGTGTGTCAGAGCTGGGGAGGCAAATGCAGAGTGCATTCCACTGGGAGCAGCCTCGGACAGTCGGGATAGAGAGCCCTGCTTAGACAGGCTCAGTTTCTGAGGGGGGGGCGGTGGGGAAGGCTGGGCAGCCCTGACCCAGGCAGGACAGGACGCAAAATCTGCAAATGTTTGTTTGTGTGCTAGCATCTTGCTGTGTAACCCAGGCTAGCCTTGAACTCATGGTAATCCCCCTGCCTCTGATTCCTGAGTGCTGGGATTGCAGGAGTGTGCCATCAAGTCAGCACCCGCGTTTTCTTTTCTATACCCAGTCTCTGTCTTGAGAGACTGAGCCTGCGTGTTAGGAGAGTAATCCTCACAGGTGGGTTACCCAGATTTGCCTGTGGACCATGAGCTCAAAAGTGCCAAGGTGTGGCAAGGGACATTCCAGATCCACGGGGCTGCTCAGCCCGACCTTGTGTATGCAAAGACAAAAGCCGCCCCATCCAGGCAGCACTGGGGCCTGATAAGCCTGCTGTGTGTTCATATATTCTTGCTTCTGTCTCCCCACCATTCCAGCCAGGCCATCAGGGATCTACAGGCAGAGGTGTCACAGCTCCGCCTACGGCTGGAGGACAGCCTGCATCGGCCACACCCAGGCAGCCCAACTCACGCAGCTTCTGCTTTCCAGCACTCCACGAGGACCCAGGACAAGCTGATGGAGTCCTCACCCTCCTGGGGCTCCCACTATGGCAGGTAGAAGGCTGCACCCCAACTCCTACCTCTGTTCCCTGTAGAGTTAGCCAGCCTCTGACCCTCTCTGGGCACATGGACCCAGACACGACACTCTCCCCTCTCCCGGCAGCATGGTGACTGGTCCATTCTTAAGCCTTCCCCCTACATTTACTTAGTTTATGACAGGGGTGCACATATGCCATGGTCATCTGTGGAGGCCGTCTCCAAAACCTCATCCAGTGATGTCACCTCTCTCTTCCGTGTTGCTAGTAAATCCACAGAGAGGTTGTCTGAGGAGCCCAATGGCCCAGAGCCAGCTGTGCCAACAGGAAGACGGCGAGCCAGGTCCTCCTCCGTGCCCCGGGATGTACCCAGACTGTTCCTAAGTAAGTGACCAGAGACTGGGACTACTTTCTGGGGTCCCCAGTCACCTATTGGCTCTGTGGTCAGGGAACCCAGAAAAGCCTAGAGAAGGCAATCTGTCTGGGTGTTGGGAGCTGTTGCTGTGCTCCAGGACAAAGTACGTCGTTAGTCCTAGTCCCGTAGACTATGCAGCCACCAGGAGGAGGGGGCTGAGGATCACCAGCCTCCACTGAAGTCTGCTAAGGACCCTGAAGCCACAGAGAGCAGCTGTGGACTTTAAACTGGGGTTCAATCCCAGTTCCTGTCCAAGTGACAGCATCTACCTCCTGGGGTTGCTGCACAGTTGTGTGACAGCCACAAGGCCCCAGACTGAGATTCTGGAGGTGGGGACCCTTGGTCCCTTGGGAAGACCCGAGACCAAAGCATCACCTGACCTCGGCCCGTGCGTGCTCGCTTCTCGGGCAGTTTGAGCCCCTCCCCCGCCCCTCCTGAGACTCCCTTTCCACCACAGGCTCCGAATCGGAATCGCTTTCCCCTCGACTGTCATCTGAGAGGAACAGGACCTTTGAGGAGCGTCCCCAGGCTGCACAGGAGGGGACAAGATCATCTGTCAGCCTGAGACAGAAGGAAAGAGTCTCCTTCCGGGGCCAGTACACAGGTGAGCCTTGTGCACACCCTTCCTCAGCCCTTGGCCCGTGTGCACATGTAGACGTGTTTGCGTATATGGGCACATGTGTGTGTATGACTGCATGTGTGTGTCCTCATGGTGTGGAGACCAGAGGTCACTGCCTGCTGTCTTCCTCATCGCTGTCCGCTTTGTCTGCTGAAGCAAGACCTCTCACTGAACCCGAATCCCCCCACCCCTCCACCTCAGAGTGCGGGACTTACAGGTGGGCTCGTGTGTGAATGCTGAGGGTTCAAACACTGCTCTTCACATTTGTGTTGTGGGTATTTTTATCTGCTGAGTCATCTCCCCTGCCTCAGCCCAAACTGCCTGGGAACTCAGAACACACTCGCTTCTGTCCGGTATGATTTCAGGAGCTTTAGACCATACTGGCACCAGCCAGTTTTCTAGTGGTCTCAAGGCTTTCAGTGGCTATCCAACACAGTCCTCTTCTGTCCTTGCCAACGTCCTATGGGGCCCTATGATGTCCCTCTGTCCAGCCATTTAGAGCCCAGGAAGAGATACTGCTGACTCCTCCTCTGAGGAAGCAACAACGCCACTCCTGCCTCTGTGGGGTGTGCTGATCACTCCCACAGGGCAAGAACTGGCAGCTGCTTCTAGAAGCAGAGATGCAGCCAGGAGTCTAGAGAGGGTAGTAATTAACAGGCATCTGTGTTCTGTGCATATGTGCACACACGTGTACAATGAGTGCCTCCTAGGGGTATGCTTCATGTGTGCACAGGAGATAGGCAGTGACAGGAAAGAGACGATTAAACCAGTCCCAAGTCCACACAGGCATCGACACTGTTCATTCTGGATTCTTCCCCAGGCCAGGAGTACCACATTCTGTCCCCCAAGGCGGTCCTGAAGGACAGGGGCACAGCCTCCTGCCCCCATTGCCAGCCCATTAGGACCCAGGACGCAGGTAAGAGACAGCATTCTGGGCAGTCGAGGCTTAGTCTCTCAACTTTGGGAAGTTTTTTTGTTAGGGCTAACCATAGACTATTTTATGAGAGGAGAGTAGTGACTTGCTCAAGGACACACAGCTTTCAAATGATAGAGCCAGTATTTGAACTCAGGTCTTTATGATGCCAGAGCGCTGGCCCCTCACCACTATGGATAGCTATCCTGACAAACCATTCATTCATTCATTCATTCATTCATTCACCAGTTCACACATTCACTCTCATTCAGCACCCACCACTATTGTCCCTAAGGAACCAGCAACAAAACAGGGCAAACACAGACCTGGGCTTGGGAGGTTCCCAGCCAGTGTGCTGGGGCCTGGAGAGCCAGGGGCGACCTGGAGATCTGCATCTTGTGAGCACCCTGATGCTGCTGTGGACTGTTCCCTTCACCCTCCACTGGCCTGGTTTCCCAGCGACTGCTCTGGGCTCCCATGGGAGGACCGAGACCGTCTCAAAGGCAGAGTGGGGCTGTTGTCTGGAGAGCCCTGAGATCAGGTGGCCACTTTCTTCGACAAAGTACTGCCTCGTGACTCCTGAGTTTCCCCGACTGTAGAGGGGAGATGGGCAGAGTGGCTAGCGCCGTGAGCAGCTGGGCGTTGTGGAGTGATAATGGAGGCCTTTAGCGACTGGCTTGTGGTCAGCGCTGAACGGTCGTGGCTGCCATTCCTGTTACCCTCCATCGTGCAGCCTCTGCAGGTCATCCTTTCCAGAACTCTCTCTTTCTTCCCTCCCAGGCAGTGCTGTCCCCAGAGAGCCACCAGGACCATCCTCCGCTGACACCCTCCGCTGTCCCCTGTGTGGTATAGTAAGGTCCACTGCAGAAGCCGATGGCCCCAGCTCAGGCCCCTCTGGTAGGAACGAGCGCTCAGCATCTTCCTTCAGTCATGGGCTTAGCCAGACCTTGGGAACGCGGTAGTCTTGGCTGCACCTGCCCATATCCTCACACAATGTCTGTGTGTCTTTCCTTCCCTTACAGAGAAGAAAACCCCAAGGAAAACTGCACCTTCCACCCCCAGCCCCAAGCGGAAGAGCAGGCACATGGGCTCGCCAGTGCGCCCGCTCCCTGGACTCTGGTACCTGCCTGCTGCACCCCCAGTTCCAGCCCCTCCTGCCTTGGCCTACATCTCCTCGGCTCCCGGCACGCCTTACCCACCACCCACTGTGTGAGTCTTCCCTTGCAGCCGGCCCAGCCTGCCTGAGTCCCTGCAAAAGCCAGCATGCTCATATCATGTCAGAGGGCTGGGAGCCACAGATAGCGCCTTCCTTTCTGTAATTTACCCACGGAGCGCAAGCCTGACACTCGGTAGTCACTCAGCAAGCCTAAGGGGGCAGGCTGCTGGGTGCCGGCATCCCGGTGGTCAAGACAGGCAAGAGGGTCCTGTCACTAGGAGTTACAGCTTCCTGGGGACCCAGAATCCTCGCCGACCCCCTCTCCTAGTGAGTAACCCTGTGATAAGGACTTTATTTTTTAAACACTAGTGTGAATAGTTTTATTTTCCCCCCTTTTTTAAATTGGCTTTCATTGGTGGAATGGTTTTGGATTTAGGAGAACTGAGTGGACACTACGCAGTTCCCCTGCACACCACGCCTCCCCCACGCCCTGTTCTGATGTCTCTGTTTGTGCACGCTGTGTCCCTACACGTTCCTGCTAGAGAAACAACTCCGATGCTTTAGTAGTGATCGAAGCCCGGGGTTCTCCTCTAGCATCCTTGGTTCGTGACTGAAGCCACATCTAACTGCGGGCTCCTCACGGTGTCGGCGGTTCCGTACCGCCCTGTCTTCATGGCTGTGGCACGCACGGGCCACCGACTAGATGGGTTTGAGATCGAGCACTGCCTGCCAGAAAGTGAAGAGAGGACATGGCAGCCTGGTGACATTTCAGTGTCAGGCGGGACACCCTCAGTATTCAGTACAGGAACACCCTCTCCTGTCGTCCCCGCTGTGGCCGAGGCAGAGGACTGTGTCTGTAAGCCTCAGTTTCTCTATCTGCTCAATGGGGGGAGTGGCTCTGCCAGGTACTTCTGTGCGAGGATTGAGTGGCACGTGTCAAGACCTCTCTTGGATATTTGTGGAGACTTTTCTCTGATTCTGAGAAGTGGGTGACTGGCTTAATGACACCTTGGCCATGTCTCCAGACCCACTTCTAGCTGTCACTGTCACCAGCTACTTCTCAGCCTCAGTTTCCCCCACTGTACGGCAAGTCGTTGAGATGCAATGTTACCAATAGACATCTGCCTCTGTGTGTGTGTGTGTGATGTGTGTGTGCGTGCATGTGTGTGTGGTGTGCATGTGTGTGCACACACCCGTGTGTGTGTGTGTGTGTGTATGTGTAGTGTAGTGTGTGTATGTGTGTGTGTAGTGCCTGTATGGTATGTATGTATGTGTGTGTGTGTGTGATGTGTGTGTATGGAGTATGCGTGTGTGTATGGTGTGTGTGTGTATGTGTGTGTGTGTCTGTATGGTGTATGTGTGTATCTGTGTGTGTGTGCATGCGTGCGTGTGTGTGATGTGTGTGTAGTGTAGTGTGTGGTGTGTGTGTGCATGTGTGTGATGTGTGGGTAGTGTAATGTGTGGTGTATGTAGTGTGTGTGTTGTGTGTGTGTTGTGTGTGTGTGTGTCTGCTTCTATAGAAGCTGATGCCTGTAGGGACCGAAGCCCAAGGCGCCAGCGGGCACTGGGTCTGTGTGAGGGGCCAGGCCTGGGGTACAGTCCCCTCGGTCACTTGGCTGAGTCTATGTGCTTCTTGTCCAGCCCCTCACTCATTCACATGGTACGGACACCTGCCCGTGTTTCCTGTCCCTGGCGGGGAGGTGTGGTGGCATTTATCAGCCCTCTAGGAGCCTCGAGGTTCTCTACTGTTCTCAAAGCCAGTCTTTACTGGGCCTGGGGAAGAGCTCGCCAGGCTATGATGGCCACAGGAAGGGAGGATTAATGACCAGCAGTTGGAGAATGACTCTGGGCAGATCACTGTGGCCCTCTGGCCTGAGCTTCTTCTGAGATGATAAAGATGACCGCGTGAAGGGATGTGTGGGAAGCCAGTGCTTCATCAAGGGTGGCCAGCAGCTTTCGTGCTTTGGGTGTAGTTAGAGCAAACCACACCTCAGGTTCCTCCTGGGCCAGACAGCAAGACTGAGCATGCTCCGTGGTTGAACTAGAACTTGCAATAGTGCTGTGCTGCCACCTGCTGGCCATGTACAGCCCTGCAGCAAAGACTGTAGTTCAAGTCCTTCTGCCCTGGAAAGCTTGGAACTCTCAGGTCAAGCTGGTCCTCATATGAGCCATAGAGAACACAGATTCTCCCTAAAGGAGGAACTGTGAGCTGCTCTGCCACCTCCAGGAAGCCCAGTCATTCAGCTTAGCGCTCTCCATCAGGACCTGCCATTTGCTGATCAGAGAATGTTCCAGATACTGGTAGAATTCCATAGCAGCCCTGAGTGCACGGGACGGGTGGTCCATAAGTGATTGCTAAGTGAGAGGATGTTGTGAACTAAGTGTGCCTTGTACCTGCTTCTGGGCAGGCACTCACAGACACTCCCCTCATCCCTCCGAGTTCATCCCTCCACATGGGCCTTGTACAGGAGAGAGACCAGGGAGGACAGTAGAAGCGCAGCTGGGGCTCAAACCCGTAGCCCGTGGCTTTTCCCAGCTCTTACTCATGTTCTTCCTTCTCTCCCAGGTACTATGCAACTCCAGCACCTACCTCAGCCCGGACAGCCTCCCCACAGCCTGCCCAGGGGCCTCGGGGAACCCGGCACTCTGTCCATTTGGGTCTGAGTGACCTGGAAGAGCTGCAGGCCGCACTCAGCGAGGCTGCCCAGGCCGCTGAGAATGTGTGCTCCACCACCCGCCAACTGAGCCGTTCCCTGTCTGCAGACCTGCGTCACGCCCGTAGCCTGAGAGGCTCGTGCCTCTTCTGACTCCCTGGAGACTCTGAGACTCTGAGGCAGGCAGCCTCTGTTGTCCCTCAGCCACCAGTCTTCTGGAGCCATCGATGGCTGGAAGATGCCACGCCCCTTCCCCAGGAATGCCTCCATGTAGCATGTCTAAAATGGAGAGACACTGGTCTGACCCATAGTGGATGAACACCCAGGGGACCGGCTCCGTCTAACAGGTGTAGTGACCGTGGCTTCCTCTGTCCAGGCAGAGCCTCTGAGATTCACTTGCTGTCTCCTGCCCAGGTCCTCCTGCAGCTAAGAATGCGGATCTTACTGGACAGAACGTCTTTACACTGGGGAGCTAACCTGAGCATGGCTCCTTCTCAGAAGGCCATCGAGGACAAGGAAGGCCTAAGGTCACCTGCCTGTAACAGCCACGCCGAGGCAGGGAGAGCCTGGCTAGGGACAAGGGGAATACTTGGGGACCCATCTCAGGATGGAGGCCTCGGGTGACATGTGCCCAGATCTTCTGTGATTCCTGAAGTTTTCCCATGAGCCCACAGAGTACAGGCAGCTCGTGTGAGGCCAGGAAACGCCTGCCGACCTCCCCCATACTTTTGTTAGCATCCACTAGAGGACCAAGCTACCTGCCAGGCCCTGGCTGAGGCTGAGAAACCAGGGTAACACCCCTTCCCCCATCCCATAACAGGGTGATCTCAGCATTTCTGAAATGTGCATTTATCACAGATGGTTTATATATTTGAGGCATTTAAAATCTATTTTTGTTATAAAAGCAAATGAAGGAAAACGAATAATGTTCTTAAGAAAGGGAAAAGAAATTCTGGAAGCTGCTTGTGTCTGTGGTGGACATCGGAAGCTGTGGCTTTTAAAGGCGAGGGTGCGGGCAGGGAAGTGGATGACCAGCTAAGGTCTCCCCCAGGGTATCTGCTGCATATGATTCCAGAGTCTGCTGCCCTTCTCCTGACCTCTGTCTCTGAGACTTCCTTCCTCCTGTCGTTATCCTGGAGAGGCCAGCAGAGCGAGGCTCTGCTGGTGGGAGACAGCCAGCAGGAGAGGGGCTTCCACAGCCCCGGCCGGGTTCTCTTTCCAGAGTGAACAGCACGCTTTCCTGTGCCCAGCCCGACACTGAGCATGCGTATGGCAGCTTTGCCGTCCCCTTTTTTCCCCGCGGTGGATCAGCAGGCAGAGCGGGCCTCCGTAGAGCTGTCTGCATCAGCTGCTTTCCCCAAGTCTTTGACAAAGCGGCTGGCAAAGCAATGGAAGGCTCGCGGGTGGGGAGGGACACAGCCCACCGTGTCAGATGAATGGCATTAGCAAGATGAATGCAGGTGCTCAGCTGGTTTTCTCCTTTTCCTTTACTGGGGACCCCCACCCCAAGGAATGCTGCTTCCCACGTCCAGGCTGGGTGGCCCTCTCTGGAGATGTCCTCACAGACACACACAGACTGCTCTCCTCGTGTAACGACTGTCTCACACCCTGGGTTTGTCACCAAGTGGGCTGCACCCCCAAGCCCAGTCGTAGCTGTGAAATAGTCAGCTGGCCTCTAGGTCATCACTTGCCCTCACAGAGTCCTCTGCCTCACAAATGGGCCCCTGAGGGCTCTCCCCGGTGACCTCAGGCCCTCTGGCCTACGCCTAAGTCTATCACACCGTCCTGGCCTGGCCTTCATACCATGCCTATGGCAGCATGCGCGTGGGCCCTGCCGTCTCCCGGCTCACCTCGCCTCAGTGTCTAGGATGGCACTTCTGAAGTCAGGGCCCTGCTGGTGGGCACCGCACACGTGTCTCCCACCCGGGCTCACTGCTGCTGGGGTCTTCTGCCTCGGCTTCTTCAAAGGTGCCCCCTGGGTTTGGAGCGTATAAAAGCATCAGCTGCCCCTTCCAGGAAGCCTTCTCAGGTTTTCCTGGGTGGAACTTGTTAAACTTAGCTACGGCTCCACTAATGGCAGGCCTCTCCATGAATGAATGAATGAATGAATGAGTGAATGAATGAATGAAGCAAAGAAATGGCTATTGACTGTTTTCCCAAACCTTTATTGGTGTAGAGAAAGAACCAAGGTGCACAGGGTGGGTGTGGTGGGCATCAGGACAGCCCAGAGTGCAGAGAGCCGAGCCCATGCCGTTCTAGGGACACGCCTCTGTCTTCTTTTCTGGCTCAAGCTGCTGTTGGCTGCACATATCCTAGAGGAGAGCAGGGAAGAGAGCAGAGTGACTGAGGTGGCATACACGGGGGTGCTGAGGCAGAAGGATGGCTGACAGTTCAAAGGTGTCCTGGGCTGCAGAGAGATGTAAAAGAAAACCAAATATGGCAGCACAGGTTAGCCTGATGGGCAACTTGGATTGGATTCCTAAAGCCCACGTGAGGGTGGCTGAACAGGACGTGCTCCTCAGAGTAGAGTTGTCCTCTGACATTCTCCACACACGTCATGGTATGCCTGCACATGCACGCACACACGTACACACACACACGCACATACACAAACGCGCGCGCGCGCACACACACACACACCCGTGCACACACACATGCAATAAATAATTTTTTCTTTGGTTTTTCAAGACAGGGTTTCTCTGTGTAGCCTTGGCGGTCCTGGAACTCACTCTGTAAACCGGGCTGACCTGGAACTCACAGAGATCCGCCTGCCTCTGCCTCCCGAGTGCTGGGATTATACGTTTTTTAAAGGGGGAAAAAATCACAATGGTTGACCAGAAAAGGCAGGGTTTTGCCAACCAGCTGTAACCGAGATCTACCACGGCTTCCCTGGAGTGTCTAGGGTAAGTCCTTTCCCTCTCTGAACCTCAGCTTGGTCACTCCATTGGATGGGAGCACGGAGTCCCCCAAACGGCAGGCGTTTTCTGAGCGTTCCTGATCGTAGTGAGGGTTGAGCCCCCGTCACGAGATGAAGCAGCTGAGCCCAGGTGGTGGGGAGCCCTTTCTTCGGTCTCCTGGTTGTGACCTCAACTAGGACAAACCCTAAAGCCTAGGAAACCTTTCCCTCAGCACAGGTTTAGAGGGAGCATCAAGAAGACTCTGGGTCATCCCTGCCTTGAACTCGGCTTGCTGGAGTTGGCATGGTGCAGAAGACTTCAACCACAGCTTGTAGTGAAAATGAAGGAAGGCCAGGGAAAAGCCTGGCCCACTCGCACCAGCTGTCCCCTCGGTTTCCTGGCTGGTCCTGCCCCTTTTGCACCCCAGTCTCTCCAGGATCATCTACTTAACCCCACCCACCCCGACCTCATCGCCTTCAGTGGTGTCTCTGTGTCTCAGCTGCCACAGCAAGCAGCAAGGGTTCTTAACCGCAAGACGCCTGCCTGCGCGCTGGGCTGCCGGAACCAGCACTGCCCTCTCTGAGCCTCTAGGGCCTTCCCAGGGTGGCATCACCCATCTCTTCATTTACCTTTTTCCAGTCAGTGTATATGATTTCTGTCTCATTCATGCCCAGACTTTTGACAGCATTCTGGAATTCTTTAAGGAACTCTGGGGCAATATCTGGCTTGCTAGCTGCAAGAGAGAATGGGGGTGGGGGAGGCTGAGGAAGGCTCAGCAGATGGGAGGCCGGGCAGGGATGCGGGTGGGGGCCGAGGGCAAGGCTCCTGGAGCTGCACATCAGGGCTGTGAGGAGCCTACCGTAGAAGGACAGCCCCCGGTTCTTCTCATCCTCTGGGGCGAAGGCAAGTGTGAAGGCCCGGTGTTTCGTGAACACTTTCAGGTGGGCAACGTGTTCTACTGTTCCCTCTGCAAGAGGAAGGGCTGTGTGAGGCACTGGAGTGGTCCCCATTCCCAGGCTGAAGAAGCAAACCGCTGTGGGCAAATGCCTGGAGCTCCCTAGAGCGCCCTTTCCTCAGCCTCTGCTGTGTGCGGACCTCTGCTTTCTTCATAGATGAGGAATGGCCTTGGAAAGATGGTGGCTATCTGTCCCCACTTCACAGATGAGGAGGCACAGGATTAAAAGCCTCGGGGCTGTGAAGCAGCATCTGATCAGGCCCATCAGCATTTGTGTGGCCTTCCTGTGTCGTCCCTGGTGACCTGGGGGCATGGGTTCCCACTCGGAGCTCACAGAGGATAGGGAAGGATGGTTAAAAGAGAAGCTCAAACAGAGCTGGATTCTGGTGTGATCCTGCTTCTAATTACAGAGACCGACTTAACAGCCCTGTGCTGTTTCCTCCTCTGATTCCTGAGATATCCTCAGAAAGCGCCCAGTTCAGTAAAGCAAATCCAACAGGGCCCAGCCCAGGGTGGCAAGAGGTCTCAGGGTTAGTTGGTCACCTAGGGCTCTCTGTGACCACAGGATCCAGGGCCTTGGCCCACCCTCTCCTCTCACCTGGCCTAACCCCCTCCACAGACAGACCCTTCCATATGAGTGCTGGCCCTTACCATATTTGGAGATGGTCCCATTCTCTCTCTGGACTCCCAGCGTGCTGGAGTTATAGACACACCGGCCCTCCCTACAGGCAAACAGAAGGTAGACAACACAGTGAGAGATGATCAGGAGATGTGAGCAGCAAGAGGCAGGTAGAGAAGACAATTAGTGGCCTTGTTCCGGAAGGTGGATGGGAAGGCCAAGCAGAGGCAGACTTTGCTCACGTCTCCAGGCATCCAGCAATGGAGGCCAGGGCTGGGGCGGGTTCTTGCTGCAAGGACTCACACGGTCTGGTACTCTTGGAGCAGGATAGTGTCGTCTGTCAAGTTGGGAGTGAAGTAAAAATATGTTGCCTGTATCTTTTGAAGTGCCTGCTTGAACTCGAGGTTTCGGAGAGCTGAGCCGAGGTAAAACCATTTGCCAGAGAGCTGGGAAGATGAAGGCAGACAGGTGATGAGCAGGGATGAGAGAGGGCTTCTGGGTCATACATGGGGAGACTTGAGACCCCAGGTGGGTCTCAGAAACCAGCCATCCACTGCTCTGTCCTCTTCTGAGAAACCTCAGAGGGACGCTTCTGAGTCTGGAGGCAGGGGGATGCCACCAGAGTCCCAGGCTGGTTAGAATTCCCCACAGGCGAGGCAAAGGCAGCAGCAGGCCCAGAGATAAAACAGGCAGGGAAGGAAAGGCAGCCATCTACAGTGCTCAGAGCAGGCGCTCACCCAGCTCATGGTGTCATTGGTAATGGGTATGCCTGTGATGTTGGCATGGTCTGGGTTCTGGGCCTCCAGCAGTGGCAGGAGGCTCAAAATGACAAGAGCCACTCGCAGTGCCATGCTGACACTCAGAGGCACCAGAGCCAGGAGGAGCTAACTGGTGGCTGGAGGGAGCAGTGACCTTTTTAACAAATGTGGGAGGGGCACGGGAGTACTGCCAGGGGCTGCCGAGCCTTGGCACGATCCCACCAGCACTGGGAAATGTCTTGTGCAAAATGTCCCCTCAAGCCAGCTTTCAAATCCAGTTCTCACAGCCAGCCTGACATGGGCTCCTGCCATACAGATTCCTAAAAGCCAGAGCGTTGATTCACAACCAATGTGGGTACAAGGCTAGTCCAAAGATACTTAGCAAATTTTAATGTAGATCCTCTGAAAGACCCCCAGAGTGGGGAGACCCTCACTCAAGTCTCGGGATAAGCCAACACCCCAATAATTCAAGAGAGACCGTTCTTGCTGCAAGCACACGAGGTTTATTCGGGGAACCAGTGCACTGGGGCCGAGCTCATGACCCTCGCAGGGGCAGAGGAGTTCGACCCCTAGTAGCTGCAGTTGGGGGTTTTTTAAAAGGGAAAAACTGAATCGGGGAGTTAGGCAAACATCATAAACATAGCGGATGAGGAAGCTAAATGGTAGCTTATGTCGTAACAGGAAGGTTATCTCAAGCAAGCATTCTTTGGGCATTGTACAGTTAAGCATTGGGCAGGAATGTGGTGAGCTAGTTCCTGGATCAGGGAGGGTTATCGTTTGTTTATCTTGAGGTCTCCGGTTTCTCAGGAGAGGGCAGAAGGGCAAGTCACTCTGTGATGAGTCGCTAGGGGTCTAGAGATGTTGAGTCGGGATCTCTGACCTCAGCTAGCAATCCATTCATTTCTTGTCCCATGGAGCTGCCTAGCACAAATGAGACACACTCCCCGCCTCCCCAGCAGCCACAAATCAAGTCCCAAAGGTGCTATGAAGAGGCTCCAGGTCACGGTCAGGAGTGAACTTGGAAGACACTTAGGGGGTCAGGCTGGGGGCCAAAGACAAAGAGGGTTAGCTTTGTTGTTGCAAATGAACATGATGCTTCTGGGAACTTCTACCCAGTCCTGAAGATGACCAAGTGCCCACTACAGCGTGCGGAGTGGACCAGAGTGGAATATCTAACACAGCAAGTGTCCCAGTGTCTAACCCAGGCAACGGTCTGCCTATGGCAGTGCTTGCCCAACCGGAGCTGAGCCCAGCGTCCAGCAAGTGTCTGCTGGTAGTTCCTGGCTTACATGGCCTAATCTTTGTCAGTCACATGAATGAACACTCTCAAAAAGTATTGTTACGGTCAGGCATAGCAGCTCCCACTGGGGCAGGGAGTCATTGCTGGGAGCTTGAGACCCTCCTGGGGTTACACAGTGAACTGTTTCAAAACTTCAACAACAACAAAAGTGTTACAGCATGCTCACAGTTTTGTGTTCCTTCTATTTCCTGTGTCCACGTGTTTCCATATTTTAGTATTGTCAGAGTTACAGTTTTAGTGATACATAACTTGTCGTTCACTTACCATATTCTAATTTCATGAGACCCTTTTTTTTTTTTAACTCTGTGGCATCTCATATTGTATTTCCCCCCTCATGGTAAGCATACGGAGCAGCACGTTCCCTTTTAAGATTACCCTACCATCTGTCAAACGAAAGCACGGTCAGCCACAGCATCATCCTTGTGCTTTGAATGCCCATCATCAGGAAAATGGGAAATGAATTGTGACATCTCATGCAAAAAAAAAGCGTTGTTTCGCAACTGAGAGAAATGAACTACTGATAGATTCACAGTACGAATGAAGGCCAACAACACTGTGGCCAGTGGTAGAGCCCAGATTTCCCGGTGGTGTGACTGTGCGAGTCTGTTTATAGGAGTTCTAGAATAACCCAGTGTAGAAAGGAAGTCAGTGATTGCCTAGGGCAAAAGAAAGGGGCCACGGAGGGCAGGAAAAAGACATGCCTGGCTTTCTTAGTCACAGATTAGAGTCCACTTCTAAAAGGCATTGCAAACAAAAACAAAAAACAAGTCTATTCATGCACTAGGGATAAATACTGTTCCACTTCCAGAGGCCCCATAGACTGCCCAGGTCCCCTAACTGACACCCACGTTCAGGGGGGCCTGGTTCAGTCTTATGCTGGTTCCCCAGCTGTAAGACTGGGTCCATGAGCTCCCCTTGCTCAGGTCAGCTGTGTCTGTGGGTTTCCCCAGCATGGTCTTGACCCCTTTGCTCATCACTCCTCCCTCTCTACAACTGGATTCCAGGAGTTCAGCTCAGAGCTTAGCTGTGAATTTCTGCTTACTCTCTCAGCCTAGATACAGGGGGGAGGGCCTAGGTCCTAACCCAAATGAAGTGACAGACTTCAATGATTCCCCCCCATGGGAAACCTCACCCTCCCTCAGGAGTGGATGTGGAGGTAGAATGGGAGGACAGGAGGGAGAGGGAACTGGGATTGGTATGTAAAATAAGATTGTTTTGAATTTAAATAAAAATAAATAAAAAACAACAACAAACATGCCTATGGCTGGCTCAAGAAAACAGGACAGTCCCCATCGTATGGATGAAGTAACAAGCGGCACAGAGAGGTCAAGTGACCTGGAGAAAAGACACACAGCAGCAGAGCACACACAAGTTTATACCTCAGCTGCGAGGCCCCCTCTCCACCTCCTCCTGTAGCAGCAGTCATGAGGACCACTGACTTTAATTAGGTAGGACCTGTAGCCCAGGGCTGAGAAAATACAGCAAAGACTGCAGGGACAACTCCAGGTCCTGTGTGGAGATCTTGGCAACTGACCTATGACTGGCCTCTTTGAACTTCAGTTCCTTTGACTGGAAGCTCATCATGGTATGCACATGTTTCACAAGCCAAGCACATGAGATGAAACCATAGCAACTTTGTACTGGCACAGGGGGTGTGGCCAGTGCACAGGAGCCACCATCCTTGTGAGCAAGAATGGTGCTTTTCTGGGCTTAACCCATATGTAGCTGACCTTTGAGGGTCAAAGAGCAGGTGCTGAGGCGATGGACCAGTAGATACAGTGCTTGCCCTACAAGCATGGGGACTTGAGTTTGATCCCAGGAACCCATACGATAAAACCTGGGCGTGGTGGCACACGCCTGTAATCCCTGCACTGGGGGGATAGAGATGGGCAGGTTCCTGGTGCTCAATGGCCCACTGAGCTAGCTGACTTCATGAGCTCAAGGCCAAATGAGAGACCCTGGCTTAAGAAATAGGGTTTACTGCTCTGAGGAAAGTCATCTAAGTTTGCCTCTGGCAGACACACAGACACACACACACACACACACACACACACACACACACACATACATGCACACATATGCACATACATGCATGCATGCACCTACACATACATATATACAAACACACATGCACACATACATGCATGCATACATGTACCCACACATGCACACACGCTCACATGTATGCGTGCACGCACACACACAAACACAGACATGCACACACACGTGCACGCCTGTGCTCAACAGCTCCTCTGCTACTGTGGACTGATAGCCCTGTCTGTGCTGGCAGGCAGGAAGAGCATGCTTCTCATGACAAAATAAGGTCCCCCTCAAGGCCCTGCCCCAAGCAGGACACTTGCAATGTCTGTCTGTCCTCCTCTTTCCCTCATAGGCGACTGGATGTAGTGGGGCCAGCTGACCTTGGTTGACCTGGCAGCACTCTGGACAGGACAAACACAGCAGCTTTTCCCCGGAAGCCCAGCCTGCGGGGAACCCATTCTGATGGCTTCCGGACACCTAGGTTGTGCAAGGGGAGATTGAGAAATGTGGGCAGCGCAGGCTTAAAGGAAGCTGCCACCTGCTGCTTCTGGGAAGAAACTGGCTTAGCTCCAGGGTGTTCACTGGCCAGGTCACAGGGACCCAGAATCAATGAGGCAAAGTGGTAAACACACTCCATCTTCCCTCCAGCCCTTTCTGCTGGCTCTCACGTCCCGTGTCACGTCTACAAAGCCAGAGAGGCCGCTGGCACTATCAGTGCTCTGATCCCCAGCTCTGAGTAGCTTGGCTCCAGGGCCCTGTTGCGTCTTGGACTCTATTCTGTTCTAAGCAGAGCAGTGACTTCTGTTTCGTGGGGCCTAAGCCCCCTGCTACTTTCCTGCCACCAGCAAGGAGTCACTGGCTCTCCCTGCTATGTGGGTGAGCAAGGCTGCTTTCCCTGGCTGTAGCTGTGGACCCAGAGCCATGGTGACGCCTGACTGAGCTCTGTAGTAGTGGTGTCCACACTGCCCAAACAGACGGTTCTTAAACCGGCGACTTCGGGCTTCTGCCAGCATCTTTTCCAGGTAGGAGTTAAGAATTATCTCAGGTGGAGAGTTATGATAGCCAGAAGGGGACACAGCCAGTGTCTACCAAGTGAAGAACGGAAAACTTCCAGTCTGTCCATACCGTATGTGTTCAGCCTCCACAACAGCCATCTTGAATTGTATGCACCTCAACCGCTTTTGTATAACCCTCATCTATTTTCCTTGTTCCGCGTCTTAGCAAACTACAAATAGGTAGAACAGTAGCATGGTATTGGAGCTTTTGTGTATGTGGGTGACTGTCGTGTTCATGTATGTATGCACGTGTGCCTGCATGAGTGTGCACATGCATGAGTATACATGTATGTGTGTTATGTATGCAGAGGCCAGTGGTCAACCCCAGGTGTCATCCCTCAGGAACTGTCCAGCTTACATCTTTGATTTGGCTACGTTGGCTGACCACAGGCCCTGGGGATCCTCCTGTCTTCACTGTCCTTTCGCTAGGATTACAAGTGTGTACCACCACATCTGACTTTTTATCTGGGTCTGGGGATTGAACTCTGGTCCTCACACTTGCACAGCAAACACTTCACCAGCAGAGTCATCTTCCCAGCCCCAGCACATGGAGTTTTAAAACCAGACCCTTGTGCCAGAAATGTACCCTTCCTCCCTTCTGACCAAGCTACAGTGATGTACTTGGTGTTGCTGTATCCTGGGTCACCTCTCTGCAGTCGATCCCCAATAAACTGTGCCCTGCAGTCCTAATCAGCCCACTCCTTCCTTTGTTCTCAAGGCACCTATGGTCAAACAT